TGATACACTGCTAATTAACATGTAGTTTTAGGTAAAAATTAATATGAACAACAGCTTTAACAAAAAAGGTATTTTACACACATCTAAATTTTTGTAAAAAAAATATATTTGCAACATATCTTTCTAGGTAAAGCTATTGCTCATATCTGAATATTGATGATACGTCGTCAAAATGAGGCTTTTTTGGCGGTTTTTGTAGGTTTTCTCAAAATGCAAGACGTGTGAAGCCCTAATGCAAATTTGTAAGACAAAATTCAAAAATTCAAGTACTGATTATTGACAATCTTATGTCTTCTGAACATCATAAGACTGAAATTGTTTTTTTTTAAGTTGCCTTATCATATCTTGTCCTTTTTTAAGATATTTTGTTACCCTAGTGTTAAATGTGCAACTCTAACATTTGTATCTCTGATGTTATATCGCTGCCAACTTTGGTAACGTCTTACTATGTTAAGATTAAGAAAACGATTATAATTATGAATTATACCTCAAACTACTGTATATAAATTCAATTTCATTTACTTACAGCAAAGTTTTATCTGGATATTCAGGATCAATTTGAATGCAATAGTTCACACGAAATAAAATTAACGTGTAACATATCCGGAAATGCCTCATCTTTTGGTTTTGATTCTTGGACTCATAAATATAATGGAGTTTTCATAAGACACCTTAAAGGTACTGACATCGGATTCACATCCGTTATTACCATCAAACCTTGTCAGGTATTCGATTGTGGAGAATACACATGCAGGGCATGGATTAGAGATAAAAATGGACTTAAATGGATACAAAAAGCAGGTGACCTTATAGTCAGAGGTAAGTTAACATAACTGCCAATCATTAATTCACACACTGGTAATTTTGATAATGAACACGGACATTTTATTATTAACCTGATGTATTACAATATCATTGATCATGTTAATGATGATATCTTCTAGGCAAAACTACTAAAATAATTATTTCTTGTCTATGTTTACCTTATTTATACATAAAAAGGGACGAAAGGAAGCACATTAAATAACAAGTAGTACAACAGACCATATCTACCATCATCTACCATCAACTCCCGACTTCTCAAAACATATTATTACGTTTGATATATAAAAGTCACTTACGAAAACTACATCATAAAGCAATTCTATATGTCTATCCGTATAAAGTGTTTCTGTCAAAAAATCTAAATCAGAACATGGTATTAATGAATAAAATTTGTATAGAACTGGCTTTGAATTGTAAGTATAAATTGTTTAAATAACACATTACATGCAACTAGAGAGAGCAACACAAACAAAGCTCTCATGCTGTTTATTTCAAATTGTAGGACCGCCAATCATTGTTGATGCAAAGACATTTTCGACGCCGGACTTTATCTTTGCTGCTCAATTTATCTCAATACCAAGTGATTACTTTGTCAAATGGTACACATCTGACGAAGTTTTGAATATTTCATCAAAATACAATCAGACTTCTATAGAAGACACGATTGCTATTGACATGTATGGTGTTCCAGTTGCAATGTCAGGGTACAAAGCCACTCTGACTTTTCAGACAAAGAAGGACATTGGAACGGTCGAACACATTTCTCTTGTTCTTATTAACAAGCTAGGCAAATCATCACATTTCTTCGATTTACGGATTGGTATTTATGATTTTATTAGTTCTTTAACACAGTTATTAATAACTTAGATATGGTAGCATATGACAAGATTATATTTTCTAAATAGGTTATTACTAACGTGCATTTGTTTACTGCTAGAGGGTCTTTAATGAGTTTTTGCTATCTCACTGTATTTCGATGTTAGATCTTCGGGATTACAGAAGCAATGATAATGCACGGCTTCATGTCATTATTATATTATTGTTTTGTTTGTACTTGTGTTCTAATTATCTGTGAAAATGTAACTTGTTTCCTGTCCTAATTTTAATAGTATGTTCATGTACGTATATTTTGATAGTCCAATAGTCTTATTTAAAAAGGGAAGGGTTGATCTTTAAAAAAAACCCATTCATATCCAATTCACACGCTTGTACAAAGCCAGGAACCTCTCCAGTGGCTGTTTTATGTCATATTGTAAAATTAATGTTTATTTCGTCTCTTCTTTTTTACCTTTTAAAAAAAATGAATGCTTCTGTTTGATTTGTTCACATCACGTTGGCTAAGAGATTGGTGTTTCGTATAAGTGATCATACGGTGTCTCCTTGAAATCGATCGGTTGTTCATTTTGTTGAGTTTCTGATTCATATGTATGTATATAACAATAATATTTAGTTTGCTTTTAATTTACTGTCAACAAAATCAATATCAACACAAATAAAACAATATTCAAAGATATAATTACAGTGTTCAATTGTAAACCTTTTAGCATAAGTTGATTTAAAGGATCGATAAAATTACCGGGATCGGTTCTAAATTATCACATTTTAAATCATCACTTTTTATTCACACCAAATTACTAATTGTGTAAATTGCATCTCTATAAAATCATTTATACGTTTCAAATGGTCCATAAAGAAATAAAAGGTCAACACAAATAAGAGTAAGTTTCTGTATCTCTCATTTATCTATTTTTATTTTTCATGTTTTTGGAAGAATTTAGAAAAAACGCTCGAAAGTATTACATTACAATGTATTTAGAATTTTCATTTCATATAAAGTCATGACATTGTGTGTATTTGAAAAAGATAAAGTTAAATAAATAATAATTTCCGCCTGAAGTATTCATCATATATCTATATTGAAAACTTCCTTTATGATAAGTGTACGACGTATGTCCACTTTCGAAAGCTTAACACTATTATGAGAAAAACAAATCGCCCACACATACATAGGAAATACAAACTTTACAACAATAGAGCTTGTACTTTCCTTCATATCGAACAATTTAATAAATGATATACTACCTTGTACACTTTAAACTTTGTCAAATATGAGTCAACATGATGACTTTAATTGTTTGCCGTGTAATTCCCTGAAATACTTTATTATTTCCCTGGGAATATGTTATATATGAAAATACATCATATACTTATTTTGCAGATACACGTAATGAATTATGACAGATTTCTTTTATAAGTTTTCAACATGTTCGAAATTACAAAACAGAGGTAACATGTTAATAGTGGGGGCGAAAGATACCAGAGGGACATTCAAACTCATATGTGGAAAATAAACAGACAACGCCATGGCTAAAAAAAAGACCAATAGACAAACAATAGTACACAAAACATAACATAGAAAACTAAAGACTGAGCATTTTAGTTTAACTGCTGTTTCAATAAATACGAACAATAAGTATATGGGAGCTTCTATTGATGACTATACAACATAAAGCACAAGAAGGATAATGACGTTACACTATAAAATACTACTATATTTTAAGAAAAGTTGTTGGACGAAGTAATAGTTTGGAAACATGTACATTTAATTTTACAATACACACAATTTCAGTTCAAACAATAAACGTCGGTAATTGGTACTGATTAATAAAAGAAACTTACTAAATAATTTTAAAGAATAATATAAATAACGTTTTTCAACACACCACGCAATGCATCTTCAAAGAATCTTAAAAGTCCTCCACAACGTGTCAATCAAACACTAAATAATAATAAATTGTTAAAACATATAAATGTTGTTCGAAAAATAACTTCGTTCAAACGAATGTCAAACATTACTAATTTCTCTATAATAAATAACAAACAAATTCAAAGGATAGAGATGGCACACCAACCAGTTGTAATTACATAATATTTAATGTTGAATATCAATAAGTGTCCAAAACGATTGACTTCCTCAATGAACAGTAACATGCATCTACAAAATAAAAGACAAAATGTTATTCAAATTGTCTTTATGTTAATACATGCAAATTGTTTCGATGATATACCTGTCGAACTGGTTTAGTGTGAACTAATTAGTTATCAAAGGTACCAGGATTATAATTTAATACGCCAGGCGCGTCTACAAAAGACTCATCAGTGACGCTCAGATCAAAATAGTTATAAAGCCAAACAAGTAAAAAGTTGAAGAGCATTGAGAACCCAAAATTCCAAAATTCCAAAAAGTTGTGCCAAATACGACTAAGGTAATCTATGCCTTGGATAAGAAAATAGTTAGTTTTTCGAAAAATTCAAAGTTTTGTAAACAGGAAATTTATAAAAAAAAAAAAAATGACCATATACATTCAATAGATTCAGTGGGTACAGCCTCATTGTGGTCTTATTCATCATGGAGTTAGATTAAAGAATGAAAATTTCAGAAAACCTTTTTCTTTCTTTTTTTTTTTTGCTATTGAAATACTGTTTAAATCTCCACTGTCGTTAACTTAATTTTTAAGGTATGGTTGCATGCTGTTCTATATATTTCATACACTCATTTATAGTTTGTGTTTTATATTTTCCTAGATGATAGTGTCTACACATTTTCAACTGTTTTAATTAATGAAACAGGAAAATCGGAATGTTTATTAAATTTATTGCAAGCTGCCTTTAATGTAATACTTGTAACAACAATACAAATAGATACCGAACTGCAAACAGACTGATGCTTTATATTAATAATAAATCCAAAAATTGAATCATTGGTATTATCTAGATGAGGATGACAATTCTTTTGGATCGAAGCGCTCTAGATCAAGGCAAATATTTATCACGTAATTGAACAAATAATTACTATTCACGAGAAAGAAGAAAAAACTAAATTAGTGACAATATGTGTAGACGATTGGGATGAAAATAAAAGATAACGAAATGTAAATATTGCGTGTGTTAATATCAGAAAAGAAGGAATTGATGTAGCTTTCATCGAGTATTTAAATCGTGACGTTACACTACCATTGACCTCATTTACATTATTATTCATAATTATTACAAAATAGTGAAACCGGTTGGAGTAAAATGTAGTTAATTAAAGTACTTTTGTTGCATTTTGAACTTGATTTTTTTTTACATAACAATAAATATACATTTTTTTCATATGGAGATCGTAAAGTTATCAATCTTCAAATTGTCCAGTGGGCACTGGTTGCTGGTGCAATTGTCATCATTGCAGCCACCACAACTCTACTAATAAACAAGAACAGTAAGTTATAATAAGATATACAGGAACGCACTTTAACTTTAAAACATTTCAATTACGATAGTAAACGAATGATTTTCTTACTGTTAAAATAAGCCAACACAATCTTTATAGTACATAACTTTTTATATCAAATTTTTAAGTAAAACAGTATATCCAAAAAGCTTTCAATAGCTCAGTATTCTCAAAAGAGAGTTTTCTACTTTGTACAAATATTAGAAAGCTGTAGATCATACAAAATGGCTGTTCAAATAGAACATTAAAATCTATATCACATACAGTAATGTTTGTTTAAGGTGGCTCGTGTGTCTTCCTCCATCTTGGATTTTGAAGAAGCAGATAACAATTTGTCTAGATCTTTAATAAAATGTGCAAATTTTGAGACTAGTATGTAATTCATATGTAAGACTTTTCATGTTAGTATAGAAAATTACGTGTTTTATCATATTTACGGCTGTATTTTTTATAAAACACAATATTTTTGTTTGATTCATTTTTTTTCAACCTTGCCACATAAGAGGAGATAACTCAGATAGTAGGGAAGATAACTCAGATAAAGTAATTTTGATAATAGAAAGTGTTGTGAATTTACCTATTCTAATATGTAGCAAGAAAAAAAGTCCGGTGACCCATACTTTTTATTATATTTTGGAAAAAAGCATGTTAAAAACTACATTTTGACAAATTATTAAAAAATTCTATGGTTTTAATTAAGACCCCCCATTCACCTTAACTTAAAGTCTGGACAAATCGTCAAAATTCGACAAGGAAGAAGTGAAAAGACAGCATAATTCTGTCCTCAACCTTGAGCTTTATCGTATTATACCACATTGAAAATCCAATTTTTACATTGTAAAACATTTTGCACTTTTCGTAGCCTCAATAGTATGACATCATTGATGATCCCTTTATTTACCAGATTATTTTAACATCAATTTAAAAGGTCTTCTTTCCCTTGAAACTATTTTCCAAATGCCCCCTAGTACCCAAGTACTTTGAATTTAAAAATATACGAATAGAAGCAAGAGGAAGGCACATTGGCAACAATATATGTTAGTTTGTGTGTGGATGGTTCGTGCTCTTTGACCCAAAATTTATTCAAATCTATTTCGAAATCGGTCAAAATCTGTTTTCATAATGAACACCACAATGTCATCATTCTTTTCGAAAGTTGTACTTTTTGGACTGAAGATACTATTTTTTTTTTTATTATTGCATAAGTATTTATTGAATCGGGTTCTGTTTGTGTCGACCAACGTTTCATAGAATTTTGGACTTCTATTTTTATTATGCAATGAAGGGGAGCTGAATAAATGTCTAGTTTTTCTATATTCTTTTTATTACTGTTAAACTTAAAAAAACAATTAAACACCAGTGATTATTTAGACGAGCATTAACCCTACATTTCAAATTGAATTTAGAGAACAGAAGTTTACCGATGCTCAAATCTCATTCATAGATTTAGAAGATAAAATTAAAAAAACAATTTTTTTTTGAAAAACTGCATGCATGACAAAAAAAGGTGGCCGTAAAACGTATGTTGTATTTATTGTTACGATTGCAAATGAATCAATTATCCACCATAGTTCAGATGAAGTGGATGTCAGAAATTATAGGCAACCCTTACGGCCGTCAACAGTGGGAAACCTCCATACCATATAGTCGGTAGAACACACTCTTGGTAATTACGTCCGTTTAGTATGACCATGTATGAGGGAAACTTATTAATTGAGATATGTAAAAACAATATCCTTTTTCGTACTTGAACTGTGATGTATAGGAGATATGCACTCACAGAAATGGGTGTTGGAAGTTGGATGTTTACTGATTGAGACGGGTGCCAAGTGTGGAGCAGGATCTGCTCACCCTTTCGGAGCACCTGAGATCACCCCCAGTTTTTGGTGGGGTTCGTGTTGCTTAGTCTTTAGTTTTCTATGTTGTGTCATCTATACTATTATTTGTCTGTTTGTCTTTTTTTTTTTTGGCCATGGCGTTGTCAGTTTGTTTTCGATCTATGAGGTTGACTGTCCCTCTGGTATCTTTCGTCCCTTTTTTTAAGTCTGGAAAAACATGATTTATCTATTAATTGTAATTAGATTTGAACCAGCTTTCAGTAACTACGAGCACGCTTATATCTGTGCATTGTGTCTATTGTTTTGGGTTAGTTGTTTTTGTGCTTTCTACCGATATTTTGCGTTAATTCATAAGCAAAACTGATTTTTACACTTTGTTCTTATATTGTGCGGTTACACAACTGTCCTAGGTTAGGGGAGGGTTGATCACTGACGAACATGATTAATCCTGCCATATTCTTTATGTGCCTTTCCAATGTCACTAGCTTGTGGTTCAGTGGTTGTTGTTGGTTTATGTCTCATACTTGTTATTCCTAAATTGTTTTGTTATAAATTCAACCGTTAGTTTGTTCTTTTTTTTTTATTTTTACTATACGGTATGTGTTTTTCTCATTGTTGATGGCCATACGTTGACCTATAATTGCTGATGTCCATTTCATTTGAACTCTGGTGGATTGTTGTCTCATTGGCGATCATACCTCATCTCTTTATTGTTACAGTTATTGGAAGATCAATAAAAATAAATTTTGAGAAAAAAGTGTGAATGTCTTATTGAATATAATAATTATGAAAAAATCCTATTTTGAAAGTAATTCATTATCATTTTATTGTTACTCTGTATGATATAGATTTTGAAATATGTTGTTATATTAACAGGGAAACGAAATCACCAGAAGTCAAACGCTATTATGTATGTACTTTTCATGATTCAATTGTTTTATAAAAGAAATAATCTTCATGCACATCTCAAGGATGTTCATTTTTGAATGCGTTGTCATTAAAATATGTAAAGTATATTGTATTATAGATCAAATTTATTATTTTATGTTAACTGGTGTTATTATGTCTTTTGATTGAGTTAAGCCATTTCAATTGATATTTTATAGTGTGTTTTTCTATGTTGTGATGTTACACTATCGTTTCAGATAAGGGTGAATGTTTGGTACCATTAAAACGTTTAAACCCACTGCAATTGTTTGCACCTGTCCTAAGACAGGAATCTGATGTTCATTAGTTGTCGTTTGTTGATGTGGTTCATAAGTGTTTCTCGTTTCTCGTTTTTTATATAGATTAGACCGTTGGTTTTCCCGTTTAAATTGTTTTACACTAGTAATATTTGAGGCCCTTTATAGCTTGCTGTTTGGTGTGAGCCAAGGCTCCGTGTTGAAGACCTGACTTTGACCTATAATGGTTTACTTTTATAAATTTTGACTTGGATGAAGAGTTGTCTCATTGGCACTCATACCACATTTTCTTATATCTGATTAGTGTTTTCATTAGAAGACGTGAGGCATATGCATGCTTTATTATTACAGTACACATACATATACATTCTTAATGCATGTCTAAATCTTTATGTACCTTTGGGGTTATGTTGGACGTGACATTGGTTTTGTATGGCCGTTGTCTTTTCAAATATTTAAGTATGAACTTTTTGGAGTATTGTTATGTTCCTATCGCATTAACTTCCATATGTTGTTGATAATTTATATGTTTCCTTCTATATCTTCTCACATTTGTTTTATAAAACCTTTTATCATGTTTATATTGCAGATACTATGCCGCGCCATTTGAAGAGAATGAGCCGAATATCTACAATGAAATCCTACCAATCAATGAAGAGCTAATAAGTCATCCTCAACATCAATATGCCGAGGCAGCCATTTCTATAGAAGACACAAAAACAAATTCCTTTGACGATTCTTCAAACGATTCCCAACATTATATGCATGTGGATTGATTTCCATCCTTCCACGAACTCTAAAAGAAACAAAATAGCAAGAGTTTTTATTTTTGCATGATACTTTATATGGATTAAAGCATTATCATTTCTTGCCAATCATGCGGAAAACTGTGTAACACATTGTTGTTAGAATCTAATGCCAAATAGCCTTTTAACATCAGATATTTTTCAATTTCTACAAAAATAATGGGATTCGCTACATTATTTTTGATGAATGGACTTTCTGTTTAACTTTATCCGGTCCTGTACATCCCATATGTAATTTAATACTTCAAAAACCCTCTGACATGTGACTCTTTAAATTTCCACTCGCCTTATATTTTCAACCCCTCTGGTCGTGTTATTACTGAAGAATTAAACATAATTCACATGAACATCTCCGAAAGTTGATATATCATGGTCCTAAGTTATGTGAACCGAACACATCAATTGCAACCATTGCTTCAGAATAATTGAGGATGCCAATGAGGACTACGCCAGAACATGGGCTTAACAAGAAGACGTTTAACAGGACACTTTGTCAGAATGGGTTAAAGTAATCAGGTCTCTTACAAAACGTTGAATCGAAAAGTTGAAAACTGTGTCCAAAGTCCGTATTCAGAGACAAAAAAGTTGAGAATGTCTATCATCTCTTTACGATGAATATGTTATTGTTCCTGTGGACAAAGCAAGCTTCGAAAAATCGTATGTTAGTCGTACTACTACGAGTGTCTTGTAAAAGAATTAGGAATGTATGAGCACTCAGGTAGTTCAACATTCAAATACATATCATTTGAGAAGGATGAGGCTTCGCAAAATTCTGTACAAACAACGGTACATTGCGAGTTTATCTGCATGTTCTTCAGATAAATTGATTTTGATTGACCAAAAATCAGTCCGCAGTGAAAGAAAGTCTTCAGAAATACTGTGAAACTGTTAACTCGCGTAGTGATATTAACCATATATGGATTCTAAAAACTCAAAAGAACTTTTGAATAATATTGAATCTCGATCTTTCTCCGAAATTAATTCTATTAAAACCATTAATTATTCAACCCTTCATTCCAGCATTCCTAATGTGAAATTGACAAATCGTCTAAAAGAAATAAACCACAATGCTTTTCAACATAAAAATAGTAGCACACGCTATGAATTCATTGCTTTTGGATATTATACGACATATTTGTTAATAGTGAACAAAAGGTTAAACAGGCTACACCGAGAAACAAGTGATCAAAATCCTAGAGTTTCTTTTTGACAACATATTTGTTGAATTTGGAGGTAAATTTTTAAACAAATTGTCGGCATTCCTATGAGAACGAATTATGCGCCTCTCCTTGCCGACCCCTTTTAATTTTCATGGGAATCGGAATTCCTTCAGCAATTGTCAAAAACAAGGAAATCAAAGAAGTTGGATCGTTTAATTTCACGTTTAGATACATATTGATGTTCTTTTCAATAACAATTTAAACTTTTCTGATTGGGTTTCTTTAATAAACGAATATAAATGACCCAAGCCGAGGTTAAATGAATCTTTAAAAACATCCATTGATTACAATAAATAAAAGGATTAAGACAACTATGGTCAATTCAAAATAAATGAATGAACACAGACGACTTTCTATCATCAGAGATCTTTCTGAACTTGTTACGTTCCGCGAGTGATTTCGTAATTTATGGTGACTGACCTTTATTAATATTTGTGTATTGATTTTATTTGTGAATGTTTTGTATCTGTCCTTGTCTGTTAAATTATTACGAGAGACAAAAAAAAAAAGAATACTTTTGTCCGGTCCCTTCGACTGCGAAATAACGAAGTTCGACTGTTCATTGATGTTCTTTCCGTTAACAATCCACATAACTTTTCGGATTGGGTTTCATTGATATAATATCCAGAACTAGAAATTAAAGAAACAACTTAAACCTCGAATCTGACATAAGCGGTGATATCAGTACCAGAATCTATGACAAACGAGACTATTTTAATTTTGAAATAATTATTACAAATTTCACACACCTTATATATAGAAATATACCAACTTCACCTGTATATGATATAAACATTTCCCAACTCATTCGATATTCAAGAGCTTGCAACTGCTATTCAGACTTTATAAAACGTCACCAGTGTCTGAGCAGAAAGTTGATAAACCAGAGTTATGTCACAGAACGTCTAGTCCTTTTCTAAAAAAGTTCATCGGAAAATACCAAGACCTTGTTGATAAACAATGTTTCTCTAATTCTTCGTCAATTTATCCCTTTCTGCACCCATTGTATAAAAAAAATTTAATCAACGTGTGGTTCGTTTGATCTCAGTTCTTCATTGGTTAAAATCCGATTATGACGTCGATTTTTCTTGCTTTCCTCTGAATTTCCTATTGTGACGGCATGAAAAAAGGCGACCATGCCTGATGACGTCACATAGAAAGAACACATCTTTTTGCAGATCATTCGAACAGAAGGAATAAATTTGCCTGCATATTGTTTGAAAATCATTAGAGAAACAGATTCCACCACCAAATCTCGTGTAATACGATATTTATCCACTCTCGACAGTTAAATTTTAAATATTTAAAACGCTCGGCGAGCCTCGCGTTTTAAATTTGAAAATTTAACTGTCTCGAGTGGATACATATCGTATCACACTCGATGCAGTGGTAGAATCTATATGTATCAACTTCCAAATAAATACATGAAGGTCTTGGAGTATAGATTCTGGGTACTGACGTTGTTTCTCATCTTAATAACGAGATATATTGTTCTTTTTATATGTCTTTGTATATTTTTAATTTTAACCGTTTAGTCCACTTTTGGTAATATCCTTTTGGCATGGCTCGGTATTCATACATTCCACCATTGTGTTTTGTAAATAGACTGTCTATATTCCATTTTGTTTTCTTTGTTGACATAGTTGTTTTTTTTTATAGTGAGTAAGATTATAACACAATGTTGACTGCTGTGCCCAAATTTTGACATTTTTTTGCTCACACCTTGTTGTCAATATAATGAAATTCTATGCGAATGTTATAAAAGTGAGAGGTTTAGCTAGCTATAAGTCAGGAATATGAAAATTGTTTTCCATTCGTTTAATATTTGATAAGGGACTTTTCGTTTTGAGTTGGGTATTTTTGTTATTTTAAGTTTTCATTATTGCTGATAATTGTATTACAACTTTCTTTGAGATTATATATGCAATACAGCTCAAAAGAAAGGTGAACTTGTACATCAGTGGATAATTCCATTGTCTTAACATACCATATGGTACTTTTTTATTATACAAAACAGTATTATATGCATTTTGAATATCAATTAGTGCTTTAATAGTTTCATTATTTTTAAATAATGTTTGTGTGGTTCTGTGAAAAATTTGAATGAATGTATTTATACTGTGCCTTAATTTGACTAAAATTGATTTATATGCATCTTTAGGTATATAAAGTTCTAACATGCATATCTGTAGAAATGTTTTGAATAATATAATTCTTTTATCGCTATTAGGTCCATTAAAACACTATAGTCTTAATACAAAAAACAATAGAACAGAAAAATACACTCCACTCTAAAATAATGATATGATAAAAATCAAACAAAACAGTACAAGAAGAAAATCTTAAACCATGGTAAATTAGTATTAGATGGACAATAGTTTACCGATGTAAACATTTCGTGGTAAATCGATAAAGAAGAGACAAATCAAGATAGAAACAAAAACTGAGGGAATCTCATAAACCCAACAAAGAAGTGGAACTGGGTGCATCGACAGGGTAAGTATCTCTTACTATGTACCGTTTGAATGAATGCTAGCAGTTACGGACAGCAATGTTAACGTACTTAAAATGATCGTAAGAAATAATGTCCAACGCAATACTAGTGTATGTTCTTCATCGGATAGTCATACAATACGGTCATGAAGAGAACAGGAAGACACAATATTGCGGAAAATCTACAATAAACTGTAGATTTTGTCAAAAGAAAAATGAAACATTATAGTCTTGGTTTATACTAGTTTTAATACTACATCGATGTTATCCAAAATCAGACACATGCCACAATCATTGGAAAACACAAGTATAAAAATAAGCTAGCCAATAAGTGCAGTACGCCAAAATGGAAGATGTTAAGGAAAAGTTTAAAGACTATCTCAGGTATAGTTGGCTATAGTATATTTTCACTGTATAATTATTGACATAAAGCTTTTGTTTTTTATGTTTTTTTTTGTGGTAAGTTTTATAAATATATACAAAAATAAAATGTGGTATAAATGCCAATGAGACAACTCTCCACAAGAGACCAAATGATATAGACGTAATCAACTATAAGGCCTTCTACAATAAGCAAAACTTATACCGCAAAGTCAGCTATAAAAGGCACAAAAATGACACATGTAAAACAATTAAAACGAGAAAACTAACGGCCTGATTTATGTAAAAAACAATGAACGAAATAAAAATATGATATTAAGCAACAAACGACAACCACTGAATTACAGGCTCTTGACTTTGGCCAGAAATCACAGACTTCTGACTTGGGATCTATGGCTATTTAAAATTTTGATTCGAGCATAACTGACGGTGGTACTTGTAGAAATGAGTGTTTTGTGCATTGAAATGTTTTCAATTGATTGTTTACTATTACAACAATGGCTACATTGCAGGTGGATTATCCTCGCAGTGCGGTGCATTGGTATTTCCAGGATTTAAATAAGTCACATTTATTCTAATTTATATTTAATTTTACTCCGCCTTAGGAAGCAACTAAATTAGTAAAATTTAATCTACATTCAAAATTCATTTTTTCCAAAGAGGGTGCTAATATTCCCATATCCAACAAAACATGTCGAATTTACTAAAAAGTTCCCTTCAAACAGCTGTCAAATCGTCTTTTTATATTGAGGAGAATTATAAAGGCATGGATTTTGTTACCACAAATTACTTAAAATCTTTACTAAATTCTTTTAGATACACAGATTTGGTTGTAAGTTTGTCTGTACCTGTAGAAAACTTATTGCAAACGGAATAACACATCCTAAATTTTACGGTAATACTGTTTGCCAAGTTCAAAATTTAGATACGATCAGGGTTAACTTATTTTTGAAGTTTACAAATTCAACACTGTAATTAGAATTTTGAATATTGTTTTCATTGGTATAAATATTTAATCCATATTAAATATTATTGTTATACACATATGCACATTCATAGTACTACAATCTGTCGATATCTATCTTTTGGTATTGTACAAGGACATGTTTTTGTCTGACTGTACATGACGTCTGTGCACTAAATGCGTTGGATGTTGGATGTGTGCTGATTGGTATTTTAGTCTTTGATACATGATCTAGTTTTATTAGTTGTTTTTGGCTTTAAACAAGCTGTCAGTAACTCAGATCTGTACTCTGTGTATGTTTTGTTATTAGGGATGTATAAATACCCTGCCACGTACGGTCTGATTTTTCGTTAAATATATTTTCTGCTAGTATCGATTTGATGCCTATAATTGCTAACAGCAACTTTATTTGAACTTTGGTGGATAGTTGTCTCATTGGCAATCATACCACATCTCTTTATTTTTTATATTACTTATATTTATTTGTTAAAGTTGATGAAATTTGTGTTACTTGAATTTCAAAGTTTAAGCTTGCAACGCACAACTTGTTTGAGGAACAAAATATTTGCTAACTTGATTGGGTACAAAAAGAAGTTGGTAACACGACAAGGTTTACTACAAAGAATAGTGTTCTTATACATGTTATAGGAACCATCTGTGTCCTGTTCTTACCGACTCCTATATCATATGTAATATACCTCATTCATGCATTTCTCAGGACAATGACGGATGATTCAACGAAAGCTAGCATCATCCTTAATCTTCACGTTCCGGTATATATAGATGAAGTATCCTCTTAATAAATGTTTCGATTTTTTGTGACTAGGTTGCACGCATCTAACCCATCTAACTTGATAATAAAATACCACAGATGCAGTTAAGTCATATACTGACTTTAATTGTTGTTACCACAATCCGGTCCTCTTTTTCTCGATAGCGACATCACCGAATGAGACTTATCTACGGATTTTTTACTAAGGTGTCACAAGTGGGGCATAAGTGCACGGGTACCAGTTTAGCTAGCGTTATGTGGTATGTATACACATACGGTTAAAACTATCTTATTGCGTGATAGAAAAAGTACATTTACATGCGTATGAAAAACTCTCATGACGTAGGAAGCCTTAAAACCCAGGGTTTGCTTGTGCAAATACACAGTCGTGCCTATTCTGTTATCTATTGTACTGTAAATTTTTGTTTTGTTTTCTAGTACATCGAAAACTGTATTATTTGAGTTACCCAAACTTCAACAGAACAACAGACGCACGATCGTTTGGGGATTTGCAAAAATGTATAATAATCAAAATGTGTATAAGGTAGAATACTTTATTCATAATGTAAACACTAATAGTTGATAAAAACAAAAAAACAAAACATTCATACTCAATGTAATACTTCAACTTCAGCAATATTTAATCAGATTAAACTTAAAATCTATTACTTACACACACAATGAAATTTTAAACTTGACATTGAGCAAAATAAAATTATCATCATAGTTCAGAACAAAATGATTGACTGACCAACAAAGAGTATGCATCATTTGAAATTTCACTAATATTAATATGTATAGGTTTCATAACTAGTGAGAGTGGGATATTATTAGTTCTCTAATTCTTCGTCAATTTATCCCTTTCTGCACCCATTGTATAAAAAAAAATTAATCAACGTGTGGTTCGTTTGATCTCAGTTCTTCATTGGTTAAAATCCGATTATGACGTCGAATTTTCTTGCTTTCCTCTGAATTTCCTATTGTGACGGCATGAAAAAAGGCGACTATGCCTGATGACGTCACATAGAAAGAACACATCTTTTTACAGATCATTCGAAATGACGGAATAAGTTTGCCTGCATATTGTTTGAAAATCATTAGAGAAACAGATTCCACCACCAAATCTCGTGTAATACGATATTTATCCACTCTCGACAGTTAAATTTTAAATATTTGAAACGCTCGGCGAGCCTTGCTTTTTAAATTTGAAAATTTAACTGTCTCGAGTGGATAAATATCATATCACACTCGATGCAGTGGTAGAATCTATATTTCTCTTATGGTCAACAGCTCGAATCCCAATATGGAATTTACTGACCCCATATATATCGTATTAGGTCACTAGTACACTGTATCACGGATTTATCTTGCCAACTATCGTAACATGTGATATTTAGACTAATGGCCAAGTCTACAACACTTAGTATTAAAACCTATTCCATTGTTCTTTAGAAATACAAATACCAACAATAACAACTTGTAAGCTTTAAATGTGTATTATGAACTTATTTCAATCGTTCATCATCAATTTCTTCGTCTGTTGAAACCTTTCAGATTTTTCCTCAACACCGTGTTGTTTTTACAAAGTGACGTAACACCACTACTAACCGTGAATTGAAAAAAAAACACGCCTACTAACCCCATATAAAATATATACGGTTTGATAGCAAGCGATATCTAATTTTCAGCAGTTATTAAACCTATATCTCTTGTGGTCAAAATTCTCATTGTGTTAAATAAATCGGCTTATCGTTGTTTTAGTCGTTCGCACATGCAAGTATGACGTCATATTTCCTGTTAACATCAGACATTTTAAAACTTTATTACTCTTCAAAATGTAAATAAATTTAACAAAAAGAAGAATGACAGGTAAAAAGTGTCACTACGTATTTGGATATAGTCGACACATTCACATATGTCTGTTGCCATGGACAAAATACATCGTCTTAACCTGTGAAAGTCATCAATAATCTCACGAATAGCAAATGAAAGTGTCGTAATATCGTCTCATGATGCTAGACAGGCCAATCAAATTAACGCATGTTTGGTATGCATTTCTCGTGTCATATTCCGTGCAGTGTGATACGAGAAATAAACGTGTACCTCTTTATGCAAAAAATAGACAACAAGTCGAGAAAGAGAAAATGTAAATATCTGTTTTTTAGTTCAGTTCTAAACAGTATATATTTAAAAGTAGGACACATGCTTTTGATAGGAATTGAAATGATATTTTGCAAATATCAACAATAGTTTAATTAATGTAAGATTGTCAACAATGAGCAAACCCCACACCGTATAGCAAGCTATTAACGGCTAAGGGAGTCTTTCAAAATATAAAAAATGATGGTCTGTAATGATTAAAGCTAAACAAGAAAACAATCATGATAGGAGTGTGGTTATTCGAGCACCTAAATATTCGAGAGGTAGAGTAATATATAGTTATGTAGTTGTTTTGCAGTACATGTAAAATGGTAGACGTATAGAAATAGAGGAAAGAAAAAAAAGAATAACGACAGTACATGTAAAATAGTAGAAGTATAGAAATAGAGGGAAAAAAAAAAGAATAACGACAGTACATGTAAAATAGTAGACTTATAGAAATAGAGAAAAAAGAAAAAAAAAGAGAGTAACAAAATATTTTCAATTATTTCGGAAATTCGTTTACTGACAGATGAAAAATGGTCTGCATGTTATCCTGTCAATGTTTCTTTTATGTATCCTTCGTGGTTAACTTTAGTATGAAATTGCATTACTCCATTTATTTAATAGCATTTAGCTTTGACATCAACTTTGAAATTGAAGTTATCCATAAGAATAAAAAAAATACTCCGATTACACTTTGGCGATGATTTAGAATTTGGGATACATTTCATATAATTATACATTAAACCTTCAAGGTTGTATCAATATCTATATCAGTTGTTGAGAACGTGAGTTGGTCACGATAAAAAACATAAAAAATTATAGCGATTACAAATATGTGTTGATGCTATTGATATTCTTCAAAGGATAAGTGTCATCACTTTTAGTCCCTTCATTACATTCAGTGACACCTAGTAAAAGGGAAAAACATTCCAAATTAGTATACTATAGATGCTCATAAATTGTCCTTACAAAAAGTCTTACATACCAACATATCTTAAAAGTATATTCAATTTAAAAAAAAAAACATATTTCAACAGTTCATTAAAGTGTCCGGGTTTTTTTTCTTTTAAACCTAAGGCCACGCCAATTTGATTTCTTGTTCTAGATATTTTTCCACTCCAGAAATTAGGGCGAGCGAGCGATTTAAAAATTTTAATAAAAAAATATTTATTTTGCAATTTTTTAAGGCGAATCTTGAAAAGTAAAGGCGAGTGATTAAATATTTTTTTGAAAACATAAAATCATAGGTTCTGACAATATTGATCAAAACAAGACGGTGTGAAACTTGATTTACCACTTGTACTTTGAAATTTCTTTAATTCATCAACTGTTAAAGTGTTGTTTTTTTCCCTGTTAACCAAGACATGTAATGCCCACTTTTAATTGCATCATATTTATGACTTCTTGTATTACTGTTACTTTCTGAGCACATCAGATTTTGAACTGAATAATTGAATAATTATTTTAACTGCTTTAAATGATCTCTAATGATGGCTTTCCTCCTTTGCCAGACATGACTCATACCTAGCAACACAGGAACTGTTCATCCTTCTGGGACACCTGAATTCACCGCCAGTTATTTTGGGTTCGTGCTGTTCGTTGATGTGTGTACTTTTTTCGTTTTTTTTTGTGTTATATGTTGGTTGTCTGTGTCTCCGTCGTTTTGGTGTTCTCATTTTTATTCTTTTTTTTTTTGCACTTTGTATACAAATAAAATGTGGTATGAGTGCCAATGAGAAATTCTCCATCCTAGTCACAATGCTTTTAAAGTTTACAATTTTAGGTCAAAGTACGGTCTTCAACACGGAGCCTTTGCTCACACCAAACAACAAGCTATAAAGGGCCCCAAAATGACTAGTGTAAAAAAATTCAAACAGGAAAACCAACGGTCTAATCTATATACAATACAAGAAACACATATGAACAACATCAATAAACGACAACTACTGAATGACCGGTCCCTGACTTAGGACAGGTGCATAAAAATGCACTGGGTATGGATAGTTTTGTTCCGTCGGCAAACGATATTGCAGTTAGTTTAAACAATATTTTATTTTCAAAAGGGCACAAAATACAATTATACAATAGAAATACTTGGATTCGGAAACTAGAAGAACTTATATAAATCCGTCTCCCTGATATTGCACTTGAAGGCAACACTTCTCCTCCTTCTGCGTCCTTCATTCTAACAACGAAAATCGGCATGATTTTGTGAATAATTGTCCTTGACTTTGATAAGAAATCTGTGTTAATGCTCGAAATAGTTTAAAGGGCTGCGATTTGACGTTGATTAAAACGCTCTTGCGATTGCTTTTTATTTCTTTAATGTTTACCAAAAAAGAACCGGCACAGGAAATAGACAAGATTACTTTTCCAGATGCAGGAAGCGGGAATATTTAAAAAAAAAAATTCCGTTTAGGCAAAAATATGTGCAGGCGTATCCGTCGAACAAGGAATTAAATTGGTGTGGCCTAAAAACCACTTTATTGTTCATGTATTTATATATATAAGACGGGTTTTGTTGTTGTTTCACCAACAGGCATATTTGAACTGAACACTACTTTATCCATTGTATCAATATGCCGGATTATGATTTAATTTGATGATATCGAGTAAACTTTGTTCTGTTAACAGACGAATGACTATCAGTATTATTTCATACCAGCCGGGGTATATACACAAGGATGTCTCTTTTTATGTTCAAGCCATACGAACTTCACTAACAGGGATGTGGTCCTAACACAAAAAAAAACTGCTCCTAGAGTGTTATAAAGAAGAAAAACTGAAATCGATACGCCATAAGTTATACGTTTACAATGACGAATTTGCTCTTAATAAGAGTCTGACATTTTTAGTAAAAGAAACTGCTACCCATTTGCTTTCCAGTTAATCTATTTTTTAAGACATCAAATAAGGAACACCACTGGTGCTCTATAGAAAATGCATTTCAAATAATAGCACTTTTGTAAACAGAAGGGGATACATAAAGGCAACAGTAGTATACCGCTGTTCAATAGTCATAAATTGATTAAGAGTAAACAATCCGGGTTACAAACTAAAACCGAGGGAAACACATCATAAGGCGACTGTGCAATGATAGGTGGTGTTTCTATAGAAGTAAGATAAAACGGATATATTCCATACACGTTTGGGGAGGAGAGTAAAGAATCGTATCTACTTTGACATTGTTTGGTTGATTTTCTATGCATTTTCTATGTATTTATTCTCTTAAATAATAAGTAAAAAATGTGAAGGACTTGGTACGAAGGAACTTAGACATACAACGTAACTAAAGTTAACATAGTTAACGAAAAAAAAACTTTTGTGTACGCCAGTATCAACTACCAACCAGGGTTACATGAACCCGGCCTGGAAAAGGTTTATATAGGATTTTACATAGTGTTGATGAGGCTCAACCCTTCCTTGGTCTTGGATATTGGTGTGGCATACTGTAAAAGTCAGTTATAAAGGATTTGACTCATCAGTTCATTACTAAATACAACTAAAAAAAATCATAACAATCGTATACAAGAAGTGACGATTTAAAAGTACTCGCAGTTACTGAAAGCTAGTTCACAGTCAAATTTAAACTCATGAAGAAACCATTTTTCTCTGACTAGGATATTGATCAGTACGTACACCTTCGATGGATCAAATACGCCATAATAAGTCTGAGAAATGCATGCAAAAAAAAAAGAATGGTTTGTCCTTCTTCTAGATTTATAAATTGCTATTTCAATATAGGAAATCCAACAACATTTTGTGTGTGTTACAAGTCAGGCTTTCTTGAAAAAACAAAAAAAACACACTAACGATACACGGCTTTTATGTTTTGTCCACCAGACGCAATGTGGTCGTTGTTGATATTTGATTGTACGTCTATTATCGCATAAGAGTCTGGTATTTCTGGTTAATGTGATCTGTTTTACCTTTTCTATGTATTTTGCAAATTATATTATCCTTTTCAAGTTATATTTTAAGTTACTGAATATTCAAACTTGGACTTTGGTTAATCTTTAAATTATATAGTTCTGTTTTGCAATTTCCTCCTAAACTTAAGATGCGAATATTATTAACTCTCCTTGCTTATACATTTTGTATCATTATAAACATGCTTACATTTAACAAGTTCCACATCATTTTCTCCAGAAATCTGTTTTGTTGTATTTCTATCAATCATTCGGCCCCTTTCTCTTCTGTTCTTGAAAAAGGTATTAGAAAACATATTGTAAACTCATGTTTGTTACAATAATATCATAAACTGAAAGGTTTGCAAGTACTGTAAAAACTGAAAGATATTGTTGAGTATGAAAGATTGCATCTACCATTGTGCAAAAGGGTAACACTGCAGATAACTTAGATCGCCACATATTAGAAACAGTAATGAAATTATTTTAAATATTTTCTACTTGTCTGCCAATCAATGTTTTACTATGTATAAAGATTTTAGACATATTTATTTTTCTGTTCCGGAAAAAATATAACACAAAAATCATCAAAAATACAAAACTAGTCTCTTAGCTTTGTCATTGTTTATTATAAATCTAAAGTTCAAGTTCAAATAAAGGATGGATTTTATATAAATATATATTTAAATATTGTTAAATGAACACCGGTATGATGATCACTTATTGACATATATATTAATCATAATTACAAGCATTAGATTACGACTAAATATTTGTTTGTGCTTCTAATTTTGGGTTTTGCCACGTTATTCTTTTTTAGAAACACGATCTGATTAAATTTATCTTATTGTATCAATACAAATAACTATAAGGCGAGTGACATCTTCAGGAAAAAACGCTAAGGTTTTGACTTTAATGCACACACCTAACACACAGCTGGTTTTCCTACAAGTGATATCTGAATACTTAAACTTCATTTTTTCTCCGGTTGTAAATAAAAATCGTACGGTAATATTTTTGTAAAAATTGAATAAAAGTCTGGAAATAGTTTCAAACTGAAAAATAATAACATGTGTTTCAATGTAAATTATTAGCAAGAAGCTTCCTTTTTCTTTTAATACAATGTTTTCAGTTTGTGTGTATTACATATTTAAGTATAATCAAATAATTTAAATGAATAATTTTGTGTGTTTTTGGAGTAAAACGTAATTTTTGTAACGTCATTATTTCAAAAACGATCCAAACTTTTCAATTTCTTTTAGATGTTTTTGCATATTTGATAATACTGTAAATCAAAACATATCTAATAATTAAACCGAGTTAATTGTTCATTTAATACATGTTGTTATTTAGAGTAACTGAATTATTCTGGATTGTTTGCAATTTTTACGCACTCATCAAAATTCCACCGAAATAATGGAACTCTTTTTCGCCGTAATTATTCGCCTGTATATTATTATGTTAAAATTTTTCGCCAGTGTTCAAGTAAATTGACAACATTGACAGAGACAATTGAAACATATTTTCGCTAAAATTGTTTAAAACCTTGTTTTTGACTTACTGTATTCTTCAAATAAAAACATGAGAAATATAGTATTTAGTAAGTATTTGTTTCAAATTCACAAATTAATGTGATCCATTGATAGAAAATGTTTTATGGTAATATCTTAGTTTTGGTTTTTTTTACGAACAATATCTAACTGGACGTGAAGTTCTTTCAAACTATTCCCACTCCCTTCTGCTCAAGAGACAGACTCTGTATCGACTGGTAACGATGTGTCGTTTGTCAAATATATACGGCAGAGCGGTTATGTTTTCAAACTGTAAAGGGAAAAGCAACGTTTCTTTCTGCAACGTGAATCAACGGAAGGATTTAGTTTAAAGAAGGCTTGTTGGTGGACATACAACGGTCGAGAAATCACTTCTATCACAAAACCTGTTATAAAGTTTTTACTAGTAAACATAAACTGACCACATTTTCAGACAATAATTCGGCCCGACAACCTACATCTTCGTGTACAAAAAAACCTTTGTGCAATGATGTTATTTTTTTTTTCATTTTGATCTAGAGTGGCCGAGATAGATTGGATGGTTTGCAAATTGTGTAAATGCAAAGTTTTTATGCATGATATAAAAAATACACAGATTACCTTAGGCCGAAAGAATCCAGTGCATTATGCGTACTACAAAACATATATCAGATAGTAAAATTGTGTTCAAAATTACATCATAATGTTTTCCAGAAAATAATGTATACCACCTAACTTGCATCACAAAATATTTGCTAAAAAAAATCAGGTGACCTTTGAAATTAAAGAACCTCCAAATTCGAAGCATGAATGTGCCTTTGTTCAATTTGTTTCGACAATATAGAAAGACTTGCTTATGTATAATAAGGTATTCTACCTGAACAATTTACTAGAACTATTTGCACCTTTCCTCCTCCAACATGTACGGGAAAGTTACACACCGTACACGATTCAACAAAAATAAAAAAAATAAATGTGGATCTTATAATGACATACAGTACTAAGACGGACAAGGAATGTATAATACTGTTTACAGCAGCTCAATTACTCTCTCTGAAGCCAGCACTACCACTAAGACTTAAAGCCGTTAGGAATCTTCTCAGAACTCGTCATCTGAGCACTGTTACCTCATTCAAGAAGGAGCAACCAATGTTGACATTAAAACGAAACCAATAGATGGTAAGAATACATTCCACTAAATGGCCAGGTGTTTCAGTCTTTGTCTCCTACATATGAATGTGTTATGAGTATCAAACATCACTAAGTGTATTCCCTGCCAATTACAGGAGCCATGTCTGGTCTGATCAGTTGTCTATCATACGACAAACCAAACGCATGCAATATAAACGTCACGAAAATAACTATGAAAAAATTGCCTGTTGTGATGTCCAAAGTGCAGATTTATTTTTTATTGAAGGACAACAGATCGTCTGATGAACATCACAGATGTTATTTGGGACGCACTTCTGAGGTTCTATGATATACTGGAAAAGTCCTCATCGAATCAAATAAATCCACCCTCAATTCTTTAGTGGAATTGCATCTTGCACATCTTATAAAAGAATTTCAGGAATGGAGCTGTGCTATTTCCCCGACAATCAGGATTTGGATCATGTTCTTGAATGCTGTGAGTAACATTCCACAAAATTTTCAAGCACAGAGAAATGGTATATGGCCATTACATTTCAGTTCAATCCGTTCCAAATTTTTTTGTGACTAACAAGAATAATTTCTTCATGTATTGTTCAATCTCCCTATCGAATTTGAAGAAGGCTTTAATGATGGGTTCTTTGCCATAAGTCAGAAAGCTGGTTTAAAAAAAAAATGGAATGTAAAGTGATGTGGTTACTGAAAAAATCATCATTAAAGACAGTCAAGAGAACGATGGTATTGTTGGTCTGAACAGAAAGAAATCTGCGATTGAAAGGTGGCATGTAACAAGACACATAGTAGGCCACTTCATTGTAACAATAAAAATGAGACCAGGCTAGGTATCTGCTGATGAGAACACACATGCTGAAATAAGACCTGGATCTATGAAACGAGATGAACAGCATGTCATCTACCTAATCAGTCATTTGCAGGAAACAATTGTTAACCCATTGACATTCACCAGCATCCTCCTGAGATGATCAGTATTTCAACTGGCCTTCAAGCTCCAAAGGGAGCTTCTATGAGACTATTTAACGCTCTAACATAAAGACATTTTCAGATATGAGCAAAAAACAAATGCAGATAAGGAGAGGCAGTTTAAGGAAATATTAATCCAGAGCTCATATTTGGTTGTTCAGGGACGATGTTATTGTCGAAAAATTGTCTTCGTTCCCTATTGGACCCATACCCACTTCTCCTTTTCACGATGATAAAACAATGGGAAAATGTGTCAAATCTGATCTTGCGTAAGAGCTTGAACGTGAGATATGTCCATCTTTAATCTTCCCCCATTTGACCCATCACGTAATGTTGTGATCAGGAATGGCATTCAATCACTGGATGTGAACGGGTTTTTCAGTTTTGGTGATCTGCTAACTTGCTATTTGAAGCTGCTGTCAACTCTCTTTCAGTCGGCGACAACAATTGTAGATGTGTTTGATGGGCATGACATAACAGACCCTATTGATTCGGTTGAAAGGTAACATCGGTCTCAAGCAGCTTGTTTTGTAATGTTATTATAAACGAAGGAAGCAATATCCTAGCATTGAATACAATCCCGGGAAACAAAAGAAATACACAGACTTTGATCTGTTTCATCAGGAAATTTATTTTGAAATCAAATTGAGCTAATAATCGGTGCATGTCGGACTGCTTAAGCTTGTTCAGTACCCAAGAGGAAACTCACACTAGACTCGAATGCTTTGACACTGATGTTCATTAGTTCTCTCGAATGCTAAACACAGATCAGCTATGGCTCTTCATGGGTTCTGTATTCTTTGCTAAGGTTGTAGGCGATACTATCCAGTTCATGAGTTTTGTAGTTCTGCTAACAAGTAGTACACGTAAATATACCAGCAGCTCATGCTCTGACTTCTTGTATCTAAGTTGCATTTTGTATTACATAAAAGGCAAAAGTCCAGTCACAAAGATTGGAACAAGCTACGTGCTAGACTTCCCTATTCATGCTATTGTTCGCCTTCCATTGACCAAATCGTCAAACAACACGTTCTAAGAGCCAGCCTACAGACAAACATTTGAATGATCTCACACCAAGCAAAGCCGCAAATGGGTTCACCCTTTGACTACGGTTGGCGGAAAGGTTTCAAAGGTCCCACTCAAGTTCTGTTTACTTATGTCATCCAACTTTCTTATTTAATATGTTCTTGCAAATGGAAAAAAAATTACATTAGAGAATGTTGCACCGAATGTTCTTGTAGGGGAAGCTACCTCTCTTCTGATGTATTGACAAGTCAACAGAGCCCTGACGATGACGATGAGCGGAATCTTCTCAGACTTGATTTCAATTTTAGAATTTGTATTTGATTTTTTTTTTTCAGTGTTTATAAATCACAAAATGAAATATCGCATTGTGTGATTATTTTTTAAACCGCGTTCCATTAAATAAAATATGGACATAGAAACACCTAACTCAAATAATAGAAACCTCTTTGAGGATACTCTTTAGATTATCTAATAAAATAATATAAGAAAAAAAGAAAGAAAAAAATACCCTGCCAGAACGCGTTTGGTAGGATTTAAACAAACAGAAGGCCATCGTCAATGTTGACGATACAAAGACGTCTACGTTTGATCCCCTTTGTTTTTTTTTTTATATTTTCTCATGGCTGATACATGGTATATACTTCTGTCCTGAAAAATTCATTACTTGTATTACAAAATAGTATGTTTATGGTCAAATACAATCGTATTCAATCGTATTTGTATTTTGTCAAAAGTACTGTTTTACCTATTTCTGAGAAAAAACGTCAAATTGACGTCAATTATCTCCCTTGCGTGTAGCATATGCAACTATCAATCTGAGAAACAATATTAAAGTAGTGAAGAAAGTGAGAGAAAAAAAAGATTTCATAACCCAGGTTCAAATTAGTTCATAATAATAAATAGGTGTGAACTTATGACCCTGATTTAAAACATAACTACACCATATTGCACTTAAACGACCGGGCAAACTGAAATCTTCACATTTCCCCCTTTCGAATGATCTATAATATAGCCGTGTGGTAAATAGACACATTAAAAGTATTACGGTCTGAATGTCATTCGTCTATATATCACGTAAGAGATATAAAAGCCTTAACATGAAAAACACGGTTTACCATTAATGAATATAGTTTTACCAACTTTTTATTGTTGAAAAAGCACTGTGAATTAAAAAAAACGTGTCAACAAGTTGATTACAAACCTTCAACTTAAAATCAAAGCCGAAAGGTAAGCGGAGTTAAATACATACAACATTTAGAGATAAAAAATAAAATGAACAATAAAGGGAAAGAGAAACATCCGATTAGTTAATAGATAAATTGACTCAGTGTGATGTATTTTTGACGTAAATATGATAACATAGTTTAAATACAGATCCCATTTTCCGCCCTAGGAATCTGAAATCTTCATGACAATCACAAAATGTAAAAACCTAAAATATTTGAAGATAATGTAATTTAGATTCTTTTACTACCGATTTATTGTTTATAGGGCGGACTGTATCCGGTATTGCTTTGGTCAAACAGTTGAAGTGATGACTGCTTTAGAAGAAAAAATGGAGTTGTGGTTGATTGCCAATAAAACAATTGTCAAGTAGAGTCCAAATGAACAGGATTTAAGAAATATATGAAGGTCAACATAAAACCCCACAATGAGCAATACTGTATACGTGTAGCCAACTATAAAAAAAAAACCCTGACATGAAATATAAAACAATCCAAACGAAAAATCCAAGGACCTGATTTTTGTCTAAACAATAACATGAAAAAAAGGAAAACAAAAATGAGTAACATCAATCGATAATAACGACGATTTAATTACAGGCTACTGAATAGGGACAGGCATATATAAAATGTGGAGGGGTTAAACATGGTTGTGCGAGGTCAAACTTGAGACAGTGGTTCAACAGCGCAACATAAGATGAAACTTTAAAATCATATGGAAATAGCTTGACTTAATAGATTGGCACGAAACAACAAAACAAAAGCACAATATTGTACAATGCCAAAGTATACGCATACAATATCAACGGGATATAGACCAATAAATTGTCTAAAAATGTTACACATATTCAATTATGTTTTAATGTATCAAACCAATATCAATGTTAGAACCGACAAAACAATATTCAAAGATCGGACTACGGTATTACTTGTATAAACTGGCAGCAAAACGACCAAAAACCCTCAAATCACCCACATGTCACTATAACAGTAAAAAAGAAGTAACTATACAATATGTCAAACCTGTAATTGCCCTGATACATGAAAGCTTGGACAAAATCGGCCTATAGCTTAAATGTTTTAAATGAACAAATACGTACAAATGTAAAAGAAGAAACAGCCCAAAACGAGGTTTATGATTTGGGAGAGCCAAATGAATATGTGGCGGAGTTTTTTACAGGTTTTTTTTGTCGATTACAATCGTCCTTATTTAAATCTCAATCAGTGGTTAAAGGAAATGAATAATCAACGAAAGTTTGTACAGGAAACGCACATATCTAGACAATAACACATCCTGAAATAACCTCTCGACTCGTAATCCAAAAAATCAAAATGTATGAATGGGAGAGGATAATGAAAAGGATGCAATAGATTAGACACTACTGTATATCCGAAATGCAAAACGCTACACAAACTATGAAAATTCTAAAGGCAAAAATAACACTTATCAGCAATTTTAGATTTTAAATCCCAAATCATTTTGAGTCGTGTGAATGTCAGGCTATATAGACCGTCTATTTTCCCCCAGAGAGGTCGAGTGTTAGTTGTTTTATGGTCTTTTTAGCTTTTAAATATTTTTGGTAATGCATGCTATCATTTTGATTTATTTAATTACTTAAAAATATAAAAACTCGGACGTCGATTCAACTTTACTGTACATATGCTGTATAAGCAGTTTTCGCTGAACTAAGGATGCTGATTTAATAAACTCGTCTTGTTTATACATTTTTCATAATCAGTATGCTAACTTGGAACAAGTTCAGTACTATTTTCCTCATTTATCTGATTCGTTTTACTCCTTTCTAGTAATTGCATCGCTTCTTCTTTTCCTGAAATAAAATATTACAAAACAGCTAGTTTTTGTACATTGTTAAAATAAACCGAAAGCTTTCAGTAAAAAAATTCCTTGGCAATTAGTTAACTTTTCATCAATAAATATCAATATAAATATATCTAAATAATGATTAGAATGATTGGAATTATCGGTATTTAGTTAAACACTTTATCACTGAACATTTGTGGCCAACTTTGTTTATCACACTTTCTGTTGTGATGAGCAATTTAAGCCTATTAAACTTTTGCAGATCATATTATAATGAAAAAGTCAACTTTCTTGATCTAGGGAATTTAACAGGTAACAGACTGTTTGGCATTAATGTATAAGATGTTAGATATGTGTTTTTTTATTTATTTTTCATTTTATGTTTTATAACAATGATATAAATTATATGTAGCATGAGTAGCTGGCTGTCTTTTAAAACAAAAACAAAACAATTCTAATAAAACATAGCAAGGTCAATACATCAAACGCTTTCAAGTTTAAAAAAAACAACTTTAAATGAAAAAGGAAAAGAGAAACACAAAAAAACAGCCGAAGTGTCTATTAAGGGTACGTATGTGTATCAACTGAGGCGTATGTTTAGTTGTATAATGGACAATCATAACATTTACGTCTAAATATGTGTAAAGATTTCAAAAGATAGGTTACGAACACACAGTTTCTCTAATTATAATTGTTTTTCTTAACATATTTCAAATGACATTAAAAAGTGTGAAACGAATACACTAGTGACCAAACAAAAATCTTACAGACATCAACCACCGACAGACACTTAATTAAAGGCTCTTGACTTTGGACAGGTACATCAAAAATTTGACGCTGTTAAACATATCCCTGTTTTGAACAATGCATCGTTGGATTTACTATTGCATACTTCCAATACATGTAAACTTACGTTAAGTATATATTGTGAACGTGCTATATCGTTCTACACACATTATTTTGAAATAAGAATGCTTTAAGCAAAATGAAAATAATAACTTATGAATTTGATTATACCAAAGGGCTTTTTCTGGATTTATCCTTCAGAAAAGCTTAATCTTAAACCGGTAAAACGTTAGGAGTTTTATGACTAAAAAGGAAATGTAGTAAACCAAATGATAAAATTCATCGTAGTCTACATTGCATGAGGAATTTTGAACCTTATTTTCTTAGTATTTCATAAAAAAAAATGCATGAACATGACCTATAGTTGGATGAGTAAATTACTCTTCAGTCTATTATATTTTTTCACTGCATAGCAATATGTACAGTTAAAAAGATTCTAACTGGCAACTAATGACACGAGTTTAAACAGTCCATATAAATTTTAGCGGATAAATTTGGATATTTAAGATATTTTTAGCTGCAAATTCTCGGTAAAATTTACAAGGAAGTGTTTAGTCTTTCAGTTACCATTTTAGTTCAGGTTGGTCAAACAAAAATAAAAAACGGTTAATAATAGAATGTCGGCGGTAAATATTGAGATATACTGGCAAATACTGGTCAATTGAAATTTTGATTGAACGATACTATAAAAACTAGTCCCTAGTCCCTACCTGATAAATTACTGGGTAAATGTACAGATATAATCAGGGAACAGAAAGTCACTGAATTACTACATTATATAAGGACAAAAAGTCACAACAAAAGACTATGACGGCTTGTTTTCTCAACAGTAATTAATTTTAATCAATTGTAATATATTGTTTTTTAAAGTTGCTGAACATGTATAAAAAAAGAAGATGTGCTATGATTGTCAATGACACAACTCTCAACAAGAGACCAAATGACACAGAAATTAACATCTTCATGTCACCGTACGGCCCTCAAGAATGAGCAAAGCCCACACCGCATAGTCAGCTATAAAAGGCCGCGAAATGACAAATGTAAAACAATTCAAACGAGAAAACTAACGGCCTAATGTATGTACAAAAAAATGAACGAAAAACAAACATGTAACACAGCAACAAACGACAACCACTGAATTACTAGCTCATAACCTGGGACAGGCACATACAGAATGTGGCGGGGTTAAAATAGTTTAAAGGCGCCAACCCTCCCCTAACCTGGGACAGTGGTGTAACAGCACAACATGAGAACAAACTATAAAAATCAGTTGAAAAAGGCTTAACTCATCAGATAGATATAAATAGAAATACAGAAATAAATCTAACAAATGGATGGGACGGGTACTTATATACATCCCAACAACAAAAAGACACCAAGTACAGATCTGAGAGTACTCGCAGTTACTGACAGCCAGTTCAAAGCCAATAACGACTTATAAAAAAAATCATGCATCTAAAACTAAATTATCACAAAGTGTACATCCAACATCCGATGGATTTAGTGTAGAGACGTCATAAACAGTCAGAGAAAACATGACCTTGAGCAATGACAAGTATATTACAGTTGCAGAAAAGGAAATCTAAAAATAAGTCATTTCTTATTCAAAGAAACTTTTTTCTCACAATTGAATTATGACTTTTTGCCCTACATACATTAACTGCTACAGACATGTTTATCATCAAACGATGAAAGTTTTCAAGTCAATAGACCTTTTTCATTATTAATTAAAGTATTACATAGATAAATGAAGGACAGTGATAATTAGAATAAAATGTTAAAGAAAAAGTGTAAAAAATCAGCCAACAGTTGAATTTTTTGCATTTGTAAGATTTTGTCATCATGACCATGCTGAATGTTTAATAATCGTGAAGCAATCTATATATAGATATAAGAAGATGTGGTATGAGTGCCAATGAGACAACTCTCTATCCAAGTCACAATTTTTCGAAGTAAACCATTATAGGTCAAAGTACGGTCTTCAAAACGAAGCCTTGGCTCACACCTAACAGCAAGCTATAAAGGGCCTAAAAAATGACTAGTGTAAAACCATTCAGACAGGAAAACCAACGGTCTAATCTATATAAAAATCGAGAAACGAGAAACACTTATGAACCACATCAACAAACGACAACTATTGAAGATCAGATTCCTGACTTAGGATAGGTGCAAACACATGCAGCGGGTTTAAACGTTTTAATAGGTACCAACCTTCACCCTTATCTGAAAAAATAGTGTAACATCACAACATAGAAAGACACATTATAAAATATCAATTAAAATGGCTTAACTCAATCAAAAGATATATTAACACAAGTGAACATACACTGAATGAATAAATTTGATCTATGATACAATGTAAATACAAAATCATATATTTTTTTTAAAAGTCTTCAAAAATACTTGCATCACTGTTTTTCTGTGATGTCAACATTTTTAGCAGTTGTTAGAGTAACTAAACTGTTGACACCTGTAAACCATATGTAATGCCCTGTTGATCTATTCACATGACATGTGATTCTATTTACTTGTAAAGGTCAAGCCTTTCCAAGAAAAAAATATCGTGATTAATACATGCTGCAGTAATGGATACACTAATTTGAATAACCCTAGAGTATGTGCTATCATTGCCTCTAAAACATAAAATCTAAATCAGTCATTACTCATTAATATTTGAAAAAAAACATAGCAGTATAATTAATTCTTCATAAACTGGATCATGCAAAATGAAAAAAATTCCACATCAACCCATGTTTTACTACAAATGATAGTTAATTTTGTCAAAAGAATCATGAAACTTTCAATTGACCAGTATTTGCCAGTTTTGATCAATTGAGGAGTATGACCGGGGCGATAAATACTGGAAAATACATGTTCCACTGCATAATACAGAGTGATATTTACTGTAACTTTGATTTTAACAGTATAATTTCCAATGAATTTGTCCATAGTTCTGCGTAATCGACTGATCGTATGCTTGTAGTGTTCACCAAAAATAGACCACCAGTGCACGATGGAACATACTAATTAGTAGCTTGTACGGTATTTTATAATTTTGCCAGAACTTGTTTTTCAACTCACTTAGTAGGCAAAATTCCTATTTCTTCTACTCGCAAACGTTTTAATTTTTTATGTGTTTTGACATACCTGGCAAGCTGTCGAGTGTTTCCTTAGCAGCCGCGGAATGTACATCAAATTTTGCTGTAGATGATTTTAAATCTAAAGTAATAGATGGTTCTAGTTCTGCAGTTCTAGATGGTACTAATGCTGAAAATAAAAATAACGTTTGTTTCAGTTTTTCGTATAAACATTAAATGAGTAAAAATCTTGCACGCACAATAATTTTGCTGTTTTAGTGACAATCATTAAACGCTGATCAGTTCCTTATATATACTGTAGGAAGAACTTATCTTTGTGAAGACGAAAGGAAACATTGGGTAATAAACATATATATATTTCAATTTTCGTAGATCATCTCCGTTTTATCACATGGTATTCCCAATTTGGATTCTTATAATGATTACCTCATTTGGTTGATGTCCGTCACTGAAAATGTCTCTTTAACAAAAGGATATTTTTACGATCTTTAGTAGTTTCATCAATCTGGTCAGGACACAGAATAATATACTTTAGTACTTGCAAAATTTATTTTTTTATTAGTTGTTATTGGCTTTGAACTAGCTGCTAGTAACTGCAAGTACTCAGATATGTACTAATTGTCTTTTTGTTGTGGGGATATATAAGAACCTTGGCGTGTACACACTGTGTTTTGTTACTTGTTTTTGTGCTTTGTATCGATCTGAAGAGTCAAGCCCTTTTCAACTCATTTTTATAGATTGTTCATATGTTGAACTGCTACACCACTGTCCCACGTTAGGGGAGGGTTGGGCACCCGCTAACATGTTTAACCCCGCCATATTCTATGTCTACCTATCTCAATCAAGAGCTTGTAAGTCATAAGTTGTCGTTTGTTGCTGTATATCATATTTGTTTTTTGCTCATTATTTTGAACATAAATCAGGCAGTTGTTTTTTTTGTAAGAATTTTTTCACATTTGTCATTTTTTACTCATTGTGGAAAGCCGTAGGATGTCCTATAGTTGTTCATTTCTGTGTCATTTGGTCTCTTGTGGAGAGTCGTCTCGTTGACAATCATACCACATCTTCTTGTTTTCATATAGATTAGTGAGGTTACGAAAGAAACATATTAAAAGATACGATAAAATAAGTCGAAAAAATACCGACCCTATTAAACAATATAATAGACAACAAAAACACACGTACAACCAAAGCAATAACACATTACAGAAGCAACGAAGGCTCAGATGCAAATACAACGTATCAGTTGTTTGAATTAAATCCTAATCTCATCAGGAAACGTTATATTATCAATTTTTTTTTTCAGTCACATTCGAAAATGGCTATACAATATTCTTAAATGATAATAGAGATCTAAATATGCACAGCATGTTTTTTAACAGTACTATTATCAATTAAGTGTAATTGTCAGAATCTGTCTAACTAAAACTTAAACAATACTTAGCTATAATATTATACTACAGACCTTTTTTCTAAGCTCCAATTGAAATGACTATTTCAACTTCTAATCTACTAGTATTTGCCATACATATAATTATGTAAAGCTTTTGGTTTAATGTTTAGAACGAAGTTACACAAATGGTTGACTGAGGTATAACAATTTGGTCATTTTCTGGTCTTCACCGACAGGCAGTAAAACGCTTACAAAAGTAAGGCGTCGTTTTGCTGTGGGGGATGTATAATTAACAGTTTGATATCGATGTCGTCTCGTGTAGAGAGATTCCCATACTCTCTGCACGTTAAGAACCATTGTAACATCTCTTTGAGGGTCTGTTAGTGGGCCGTTGAAAAGCTACATTCCTAAATCTAACCAAAATATCCTCACTTTACAGTGTCATTACAAATAACCCGCCCTTAATCTCGGTTGGATCCCTATTTCAGGACCTACCTATGGTATCCACTGCTTATTTGTACTCGCACTGAACATGCATGCAATATTTGCCACTTGAAGTTCAGCAAACAACAATCAATCAACCAGAACTTTGTGTTTTTGGTAACTAATATATATTTTTACAGAGCCGTGCTCACTCGGTTTGTTATATAATAAAGTGTCCCTGTCAAACATATTGTCAAATAAAGTGCCACTTTTGTTCCGTTTTCGCTGAATAGCTTTAAATGTTTGGCCATCATACCAATTAACTCATAACTCCAATATGTAAGAATTATACAAAAGATTAAAAACAATTAAATTTTATTATAGCTTAAAATACACATCTTTTTACAAATTTTAGGCTTTTTTATTTTGTTTCTATGGTTTGTAGTGCGTTTTTACAGAATTCCTCGCTGAATACAATATTCAATGATATCTCAAGTTTGTTGACAATGAATTGAAGAGAATTGGTTCAGAGTGAAAACGTTGCTGCGTTATACGATTTATCTTTATCACAAAGCGATCAGCTTTAAACGTTGGATATTCACGTGAATCTAGGATGCGCTTTAAAATAATAAAGTGAATAAAATGAACATGTAAAATTACCAAAAAAGTCCTTTTATTTTTCGTATAAGAAACATCAGAATTAAAGAAGAAGTAATTATCACATAAGCAGCTCTACTGAATAAAAATTAATATAAATGTCGCTTTTAAATTCCGTATTCCGTCAATGCCTTCCATTTCATGTCAATTTTATGAGTACAAGTAAAAAGAGACATGAAGTTTGGGATCAAGACCAGGTTATAAAATATTTTAAGAAAGATCAAAATATCAATCAGTAAACATCCAACATCCAATGAATTTAGTGTAAAGACGTCATTAACAGTCGGAGAAAAACATGACTTTGTGCAATGCCAAGATACAGGTATCGACAGATTGTAGAGCCATGAATGTGCATATGTATATAAACATAAACCTAAGTTGGATTTTAATTTACTGATAATAAAATCAATATTAATACCAATAAAAACAATATTCAAAGATCTAATTATACTTTTGAATTGGTAACCTTTTAGAATAAGTTAATTTAAAGGATCGATAAGTTTACCCGGAACGTTTCTAAAATTCCGGGCTCGGTAAACAATATCGCCGTAAAAAATAGGATGTGATATCCCGTTAAAAATCCGTTTTTTACAGGTACAACCAAACTTTCAAACCAAATCTTTATATCTATGGAAGAATTTAGTTAAGGTTTTGGGCAATTTGTGTAAACGAATTCCTGACTTAATAATTTACCAGTAATACATAGATTACGTTCATTCAAATCCCAAAAACGTCATAACAGACATGGGCATAGCGAACGAGTTGTTATATATAAACACCGTAAGACACCGTTTATATTTGATTTATTCAAAGTAAGTTCCTTATACTTCCAATTCATTCGAACTTTGGTGGATAGTCTCATTGTCAATTATACCTCATCTCATTATTGTTATAAAGGGGGACTTTTTGAATTTCAAGAACGTATTGTAAGGCCCCCAACTTAACAGATGTAATTAAGAGCCTTTCATATACCTGTTTCTTGTTGATATTTTTTCATTTGTTGTTCTGTGTAGCAGACGATCGTATTGAGACCACGAGTTCAGGGCAAACTTGTACCGGGTTTCAAATCAGAAAAAAAAAACACAAATGTTTGTCTCGCTTTAAAGTGTAAATTAATTAATTGATATTGATCCTAAAAATACCGATCGCAATTATTGAACAGAACCAGTACACTGATAATCTTTTATCAATCAATTTCTTAACAAAAAGAAAAAATGCCCATAAAAAGAGGGGGTGAAATACCTTTTTTCATTACAGCAATTCAGATATTTTTTCTTTTAAAACTGTATTTAATCCATGTTGATCATTGGGAGAATTTCTCACATAAGTGTGTTTTTCATATGGTGGCTTATTTCTGACATCGACATAATTTTGGTCGACATAGATTTATCTCGATAAGACATGATATTATCTTGACAAGCCATGATATTATCTCGTTATGTCGACCTTCGTGTTATTTTTATCGTGTCATGTCATGATAAAGTATCGCGACATTCCGTGATACATGCTGCAGAATGCCGACATATTTTTCTCGTTACCGTGACTTTTTCCTCGACCCTGCCTGCTACTGCCATTCACATAAGGTCTTGTCAACAGAGTTATCGCAACCTGCCATGTTCATTATCATGACAAGTCGACATATATCATGAAACATTTGTCTCTATGATGTCATTTTCTTAAATGTTGCAATAGTTATATTTAGATTATATTTTCGGTACTCCTTGTCCAGAACAGACTGTAGCATGTATCACGGAATATCGCGATAATCTATCAAGACAAGTCACGATAAAAATAACATTAAGGTCGACATAACGAGATAATATCATGGCTTGTAAAGATAATATCATGTCTTATCGAGTTAAATCTATGTCGACCAAAATTATGTCGATGTCAGAAATAAGCCACCATATTTTTGAGATATTTTTTTTTTTTGCTTGTTTTAATTTTCATCATATAGTTTCAATATGTCTGTTGAAATTGTTTAAAACTATTATACACATACACATAAATTCAAGATCATAGTATTTGTCATTATCGTAGTTTTACCAAACTTTATTTGAAAAATTTGCATACCAATTAACATGACCAATGCGGGTAGACTTTTAGTAAGATTAGATTATTTTTTTTATGTCGTCAACGTCCCTGATGGAGATATGGGAATCAAGTTGTTCACCCGAAAAATTCACATATTTCGAGGACATCGCCCGATGGAAATATGACTCACGAAGGTGTACACATCTTCGTATCTCCCTAAGCCGAGGGGAATGAATGTTTTATAACACCTTCTATTCTTTTTAACTTCCTGAACATACAATATTTAATTCAATTTACATGCATTTTTTCCTATCCACTTGTTTTTACAGATATTGATAAAATGTACCGAAGTTAATTCGTTAGTCTTATTTGTTTCTGTTTTGAATTTGAAAATTACTATACTATCTCTATGTTAAAATAAAGGCAACAGTAGTATACCGCTGTTCAAAAGAAAACTAAAACCGAGGTAAACACGTCAACTACTAGAGGAAAACAACGGAACAACTGAAACACAGAACTGCGTGAAAAACAAACGCCAACATACGTAGAAACGGACTATATGATAACAATTGCATATTTCTGACTTGGTACAGGACATTGTAAGAAAAAATGGTGGATTGAACCTGGTTTTGCGGCTAGCCAAACTTCCCGCTTATATTGCAATATTAAAAAATATCGCTAAAATGACAACACTACGTGACAAGAATACAGTACTAACCTCGTTGGTAATAACATAAAAAAAGAAAAAGAACATCTCCCATCTTTATACTGGATATCTAAACTTTACAAAATCCTTATGAAGAACGATATATTGCCGCGGAGTCAAGATGTTCTACTTAACATCTTTCGGGAATTTTTACCACCATTCTTTCTAAGTAAAATATGTACTTCAGAAATATTTTAATAAGGCATATTCAACCATGAATGTCAATCAGAAGAGGATTCTAAAAAAGACCCAAGCCAAAATGTTCAATCACATTTCTTACAATATTGACAAACTTACTTTGTGAAGAACAACACTTATTCCAACAACAATTACACCAATGATATTGGTGTCTCGACACACTAGTGACATGTTTTCATGTGTCCTATTCTCTCTTCTGACATTTTAACTAAGTGTTGATTCGCATGATCGATGACGCTTGCATTGTAGGAGATGATTACCCCGTCGACGCACCTGGGTAACGCCTTATTTTTTAGTAAAAGCGTTTCACTCATTTTTGTTAATTTCATATGTCTCTTTTTAATCGATCTACGAGATTTGCACATCAGTTAACTATTATCTCCTTTAATTGCTATTTCTGTGAAGTCAAGGTGTCATAAATGTTTGGAAACATGTCCATCTGTTTACTTTAAGTTTTAGACATACTAAACGCATGTAACATCTTTTTTACCTTTCAAATACACATATCAAATATAGGTTATCACATCATTTGAACAGTGCACAAATCGAGTTGATATGCTGTGTATTGCTATCTGAAATATGCCTCAAAGTTCCATAACCTATATAACCTATATCAGAATGTTAAAATCCATTAAATCTATCTCAAATTTTCATTCCTTAACATGTTTAATAAAATACTATTCAGTATTGTTTGACTGTCATATCGACATAAGATAACGTTATATTGCTGTATCAATATTTGAGTGTTTTCCTCTATTTGTCCTTTTCAACTGGTTTAAACGTTGCTTGTACATATATTTAGATTGTACAGTTCTTTTATTTTCTTGTTACTTGCAATATTCTATATTATTTATTTAAGATAAGAAGATGGGGTATGGTTGAAAAAGGACAACTCTCTAACAGAGTACAAATGAAGCGGATTTAAGCAACTATAATATGTTATATTCTGGCCCCCACAATGAGCAAACACCATGATATGGTATATGTATGTTTGATGTCATTTTTTAATAGATATCAATAAATTAAATGAATGTACTTACATTTATGTGAGTTTGGAGACTTTTTCTGTTTTTTCTGGCATTTTGTCCCTATAAAGAAATGAGCATATTTTGTTAAAATGTATCACATCTGCTACATATGTATATCGTAAATTTGGTTAAAAATTTGTGCAATTATATTTACTATATATATAAGATCATAAAAAAAGTATTTGAATTAATTTATTTCGTCTTTTCAAAACCTTTGCATTAAATCCGATTTGTATGTGTTTTTTTTTATGAAAAATAGATGTGTTGAAACTTCACATGTTTAAAGTTGAAGTGGATAAAACAAAAATGTTAGACTTTAAGGAGCATGAATTTCTCACCCGAATTTCTTTGATTTTTTAAATGTTTATATGAGTAAAACTGCGGATTTCTAAATATAAATTTTGTAAAGTTTTATTTCGCTTTGTTGTAGGGTCAGAGTAGAAGACATTAAAAATTATCAAATCAGATCCAATTCCTATCAATGCAAGTCATGTTTTAGCCCAATCCGAATGAGAATCGCTTAGAGAAGACTATTACACTATTCCTTTCAACTTTGATTACAATTCAAAAGTAATGATGAAATTGTGATTTCCCATTGGCCGTTAATAAAAATATGTATCACAAACGCAGCAATTTATTAACGCGATCAATATTCAAAACCGATCGTTTGTTTACGTCTCATAATCCTCAATCCTGTAAAATTTTGAAATATTTCGCCCGTAATTTTGAGAAATAAAAAGAATAGACTAGACAGAATCAAAATTGCCTTTCTGTTTTATGTTATGTGAACTGATCGTAAACAAGCAAGTATCATTAGAAGGAACAATCCATTTGTTTGTCCATCTAAGTTTGATTTAAATTGGTCAAGTGGTTGGAGCAGGAAGGTGGAACTTTGATTTCCAATGCCTATTCAATGGAAAATATTTGCAATTATTTCAGCCCTGTTTTCCGCCCGATCAACATTAAATGGAATTGGTTTGTAAAGGGTCTTGTAACCCTTATTCCTGTAAAGTTTAAAGTCATTTTACTACGTTACCATATAAGCGTAATGCTTCCATGACTTGCATGATAATACTATGTATGACACAACGTCTTATGTCCAGTATGTCAATAAAAAAAAATTCATAGATGATTTGGGCATAGTAATTTTTTCCCACATTCTCGTGTAACTTTTGAATATTTAGATAACTCAAATCGTTTGAAATTTTTACTAGTCATTGCCATGAAATTTAATTGCCTTAATCAAATTTGATCATGAAAATCGAGTAATGTTAGTTAGCTACTTGCTTCCTTTCTTCTATATGTTTGAATTGTTTTACATTTTTTTTTTCATTTCGGGGCCTTTTATAGCTGACTATGCGGTATGGGTTTTGCCAATTGTTGAAAGCCGTACGGCGACCTATTGTTGTTAACTTCTATGTCATTTGGTCTCTTAAGGAGAGTTGTCTCAATGGCAATCATACTATATACATCCTCTGATTTTCATAGCATGTTTAATCTGTTGTATTTACAATCTCAGAAGAAAAATACTTGGTCTAAGTAAAACAATTCCAGCAAAATAAGAGTTGTATAATCAAGTATATTTTGTACAATGTCTTCTGTTCCTTGTTTAAATGATACACCACGACTCTGCACAAAATGCAATTCAAACAAATGACAAAAATTACGAATTTGTGTTACGAACAACTTAAAATAATTTTCGGCTTTGATGCGAGATGTATAGCTTAAGAAAGATGTTATGACCTTCATTTTGATTATATGTTTCATTTGGTTACTACCTCATTGACATCTGTCTTGCTATCTTTCTTCCCAAATGTTTAAGTTTAATGTAAGTTGCATTTAGAATAAAATTTCCTTAAAAACGAATGCATGGTGTACATCTTATTGAGATCTTCCGAAATATCTGCAACGGTCTTATCATGATAACATTGTGTTTATCATCGTATGATAGATGTTGCTTAAATGCTGTTCTTTTCATTTTCATTAGCAAGTTACGACACCCTTTTATATTGGTAATATTAATATGGTTAAGAAATTTTAAACATACCAAGAAATGAATTTATACATCTAGCTTCATTTATGCAGAAATATTGTATATTTATGTTTTCAAAGACATCATCATGATATTTGTTATGGAATTTCAGTGTCACAGATAATCACGAATATTGTTATTAAAGTCCGAAAATGTCTGGGTTTGTTTTTTTTTGTCATGGAGCTTTCTGTTTTTAAACGATTGATTATTATTTATATTGTATTTTCTGCCTCTATAAAGGCTAACTGCAGACAACTCAACGCCTTTGTACTAAAGGCAATGGATTTTCTGGTGTTCATACGCACAACGGTGTGGAATGGTAACGGACTTTTGGGTTTTTATTCTGCGTTTCAATACGAAACGTGTTTAGCAACGGACTTTTGTGATACAAAAATGAATCCCGTGTCACATAAGGGATACAAAAAAATAAAAAAGAAGTTGTTAGACTCGTTGAAACTATGTTCACGGAATATCCCAATATAAAGTATCTTTGTTTATTTTTTTCTTTTTATCAAATGTCTTCAATATACTCCAAAAAGGCACAAACGCAAGGACAGACTTAATCAGTCAGAGGAACCCATGTTTTTCAAGAGACTTTTATTATCGATTGACTAGTTTTTCTATGATCCTACCGCAATTCAGAGCTGACATAGCCACCAACAGAATGGTTTTATCTAAAATCATTTGCATCGGACTTTTCGTGTTTAGAGCAGGTGGCTTAATTGTTTGGCACGGGAATAATTGTGTTTGTTTCATAAAGTATTACATGTGCAGTTATTATAAACATAACAACTTATTTCTGATGATTAAAGATGACTAAAAACACAAAACAAATTTAGATTTAGTGTTAAAATATAATTATCTTGAAAAGATTCATGGTCGAGATACAAATCTAACAAACTATATGAATTTGAAATATTAGTAAATGTATAAGCAATGTGTAACTGTTGTTTTGTTTTAGTGTGGATATAGACTGCCCTAGATCCTATAGCTGTTGTAGACTGGAAATCTAAAGACAACATACTCAGATGTGCAAAATAAGAACAATTTGAAAATTCATTCCATGATCCCTTGTCGCGTGACAAAACATCGGTGCGTATAAACACATCCTGATTGTGTGGATCTAGACACTTTGGTCTCCTTCAGATCAACAGTAAAACTCTTGCTTAAGTTGGGTGTTCGTTTGGATAGGCCGGACGTATAAGTACGCAGCCACGTCCTGTCAGAATTAGGACATTAAATTCGATGTCTTGTATGGTGCGTACCATATAAAAATAAGGAGATGTGGTATAATACCTAATTAGACAACAGAGTTCAAATGAAATGGATGTAAGCAATTATAGCCAACCGTACGGCTTCCAACAATAAGAAAGACACATACTGTATAGTCGGCTATAAAAGGCTGGTGCCGAATACACTGATACATGTAACTCGTTATCATAAAAATTGTAGAAAAATGATATTAAACCGCAAAATAGTATAGATAAAATTAGTTCAGGGGGAGTGAAAGTTTCTTTACTTGAACATTCGTCTAGAAAGAAATATTATAACATACTTAAGATCTTCAAATATTTACTTAATGATAGGGATAGGATTCACCCAACAAAGTCCGTATTTTAAGTCAAGGTGTTTGATTTATGAATTGATTTAAAAAGAATGAACCTGCTCAAGCAAATCTGTATATTAATTCATAAACAAAACAAAAACAAAAAACGCTCTTTAATTCTGTGAGATAAAACATGTATGGACAACTATATAATGGAAACCTTTATTAAGAAGAATTGGGATACACCTACCCTCACTTTTTATTAAATAACCCGTCATAAAAGTTTATAGGTGTTTTAGTCAATTAAGTCAATATTGTTCGATATTTACGTCTATGCATTTTACTTTTATCTGCAGTAAATTAAATTTCTCTAAACGGGAGGTATTAAATTTACATTTGATATTTTTTTCGAAATGCATATGCAGTTCCGGGGTCCACTTTTTCTAGTTGCTTATGAAATTTCTACAAAATCTAAGAGATCGTTCATTTACAAACCTGCTACTTTAATTTAATTCTATAGAATTTTTTTTATACTGAGCATATGAATTATATGCCCATTTAATTTTTTTTTTCTTTGTCAGCTAATTTGTGATATTTTGCAATCTTGTATCAATTTGTTTCTGCTGCATTCTTTTTCGGCAAATGCGGGAATTTTTTTCATCTAGAGAGAGTATCTGAACATTTTTCAGAATCTTAACCAGTTATCCAGGACATGTACCTAGTTATCTGTGTTGCTGAAATGGCGAAGAAATAGTACAGTGAAACAAGTTACATAATTTCAGTTATTAAAGTGAACGGACAATTTAAGAGGACAACATAAAAAATAAATTCTTACTTTTATAAATGAGGCAAACTGTTGCTAATACCGCAACAACAAATGTGATTGGAACTATACCACTTATCGATGTGCCACCGTTATCTGAAACAGAACGAAAGCTTGTAATATACTTGTTACTAGTATTCAAACCGTAAAATATTTAGAAATCCACTTTACTAGCAAATAAGATTAAAATATACCACCAATTAGGACGTTTTTGGTCAATGCCATGATGTGTTAATAAAACATTCTATTTGTTATCATTAGCTCACCTGGCCCGAAGGGCCAAGTGAGCTTTTCTCATCACTTGGCGTCCGTCGTCCGTCGTCGTCGTCGTCGTTAACTTTTTACATTTTGAACTTCTCATAGAGAACCACTGAATGGAATAAAACCAAGCATGGCATGAATGTTCCTTATGAGGTGCTAACCAAGTGTTGTTACTTTGAAGCCGATCCATCATCCAAGATGGCCGCAAGCGGGGGACTTAGTTTAACATAGGACCCTATGGGAAATACACACAAATGTCTTCTTTTAGAGAACCACTGAATAGAATGAAACCAAACATGGCATGAATGTTCCTTATGAGGTGCTGACCAAGTGTTGTTACTTTGAAGCCGATCCATCATCCAAGATGGCGGCTTTGGGGGGGGGGACTTAGTTTAACATGGTACCCTATTGGAAATACAAACAAATGTATTCTTTTAGGGAACTACTGAATGGAATGAAACCAAACATTGCATGAATATTCCTTATGAGGTGCTGACCAAGTGTTGTTACTTTTAAACCGATCCATATTCCAAGATGGCCGCCAGTAGGGGACTTGGTTTAACATAGGATCCGATTGACAATACATACAAATGTCTTCTTTTAGAGCACTACTGAATGGATTGAAACCAATTATGGCATGAATGTTCCTTATGAGGTGCTGACTAAGTGTTGTTACTTTGAAGCTTATCATTCATCCATGATGGCCGCAACCGGGGGGACTTTCTTTAACATAAGACCTTAAGGGAAACACAAACAAATGCTTCTTCTAGAGGTGCACTGAATGGAATGAAACCAAACATGGCATAAATGTTTCTTATGAGGTGTTGATGAAGTGTTGCTACTTTGTTGCAGATTTACTGTTCAAGATGGCCACCAGGATTTTTTTTATTAAATTATAGGGCCAATATTAAACCAAATTTGGCCTCACGCATTATTAGGTATCTGTTATGATTTTAGTCTATTTTTACATGATTTCAAAAACCAAAGTAGAATCAGGTGAGCGACACAGGCTCTTGAGAGCCTCTAGTTTTTGTTGTTACATTCAATAATAAACAGCTGCGCCATGAGCGCATGATACGCCCGTCGTCTTATGTGGGAATTTTTATGCAATAAGCATAAATAGTTTCTGACATATGGCGTGACATGCGAAAACCCCCTTTTTTTTTACAAAAAACTCAATATCTCTAAAATAAAATTTTGAATCAAAACCAAAAAGTATACAGATCTTCAAATTAATATAACTAAGAAGTGTGTAAAATTTTAAGCAATAATCATAAATCGTTTTTGAGATACGGCGCGACATGTGAAAACCCCCCCCTTTAAAAAAAAAAAATCAATATCTCAAAAATAAAATTTTGAATCAAAACCAAAAAGTATACAGATCTTTAGATTAATATAACTAAGAAGTGTGTAAAATTTTAAGCAATAATCATAAATCGTTTTAGAGATACGGCGCGACATGTGAAAAACCCCTCCCCCTTTTTTTTTACAAAATACTCAATAACTCAAAAATAAAATTTTGAATCATCACCAAAAAGTATACAGATCTTAAGGTTAATATAACTAAGAAGTGTGTAAAGTTTTAAGCAATAATCATAAACTGTTTTTGAGATACGGCGCGACATGTGAAAAACCCCTCCCCCTTTTTTAACAAAATACTCAATATCTCTAAAATAAAATTTTGAATCATCACCAAAAAGTATACAGATCTTAAGATTAATATAACTAAGAAGTGTGTAAAGTTTTAAGCAATAATCATAAATTGTTTTTGAGATACGGCGCGACATGTGAAAAAAAAAACACACACCTGTTTTAGATACTAAGTCCTGTAACTCAAAAAGTTTTAATCTTATTTTCACGAAAAAGTATACAGATCGTTTGACCATCATAAGAAACAACTATGTTAAGTTTCATGAAATTTGGATAAGTCATTCTCAAGTTACGGTGCGAAATGTTTACGCCGGACAGACAGACGGACAGACAGACGGGCGGACGCCGGACATTTGTATAACATAATACGTCCCGTCAAAAATTTGACGGGCGTATAAAAACAATCTTTTCTATGCATTGATATTCCTAAATGATTTATATTGATGTCTTTATGACTTCTATCAATTTATGATTTATATAGTTGAACTCAAATTTTAATTGCAATCCTTTCAAGAAAAATTGTTTTAATGCACTGTCACATGTTTTAATGCTGTAACATATTTTGTGCATTTGGCTTCCGAAACTTTTGGTTAAGATCGTACATGTATCTGTAAATGTGTTTCTTGTTTTTAGAAAACCTGTAAAATACATTTTTCCATAATTACATATATCATATTCTAACATATTTCGTGTATTTTTGTTTGCCATTCCTTCAGTCTTTGTTCAATGCGGTTTATGATCAGAAAAACTGCCAAATGTCTTAATCAAAATTTAACGCCACAATGATGTCTTGTTTAGAATGCAAGAACAGAGTGGTATCATCTGCTAGTTAGCATATTTTTAGTGCAGTAATATTTATTTCTATGCCTTTCATATTTTATTTTATTTTATTTTGATTGCCACCATTTCTACAACAAGAACAAAGAGTAAGGAAGATAACGGACAGCCTTGCTTTGGAACGACTATAAACCCAGCCATTATTAGTTATACATCATCCTTTAATGTCTTGATATATTTGTTGATATAAAAATAAGAAGATGTGGTATGATTGCTAATGAGAAATATCTCCATCAGAGATCAAATGACGTAGACTTAACAACTATAGGTCAAGAATGAGCAAAACCCATATCGCATAGTAAGCTATAAGAGGCTCCAAAATGACAAATGCAAAACAGATCAAACGGGAAAACTAACGTCCTGATTTATATACAAAACAATAAACGAAAAACAAATACGATACACAGCAACAAATGACAACCACTAAAATTACAGGGTCCTGACTTGGGACAGGCACATACAGAATATTGTGGGGTTAAACATGTTTGCTGGCGCTAAACCCTCCCCTAACCTGGAACAGGGGCGTAACAGAGAGTACTCGCAATTTCCTCCTTTTTCACCATCATACCATATAAAAATTAAAAAACCCGTCATAAAGAAAATCAGAACTATCGAGTTTTTGACTTTTTAAAATTTGGTATTCCTCGTGCAGGTGGGTCCTGATGTGCGTGTCTTACACAACTGATTTTTACAGTGTTGTTTCCGTCTTGTTTACCCTTGCATGTATATTTACCTTAGTCTTTATCGAGAAATTGTATACCATATACGGGGTGTACTATCAACGACAAACACTTTTTTTGTTTAACTCATCGTTTACACAGTTTCGGCTGTTGGTTCCAAACTATTTTCACATTAACCTATTATGTCTATTTGTATTGTTCACCCATTTTTGTCAATGTAACGGAATATAAACAACTGGCATACAAGTTTAACCCACCATATCTCGGAATGTCAGTTGTTTTTCACTTGTTCCGTTGATTGATAGTTTTGATAAAGTCAGTTGTATCAACTTCCACTTTTTTTTAACTTTGCCTCGGAGTTTTTCAATGACGTATCTAATACTAAAATATCAATAAGTACACATCTAACTTTCAATGGCTTTAGTGTAAAGACGTCATTAACAGTCAGAGAAAAAACATGACATTGTATAACATGTGTAATGCAAAACTAATGGTATCGACAGATTATAGGATCGTGAATGTACATATGTGTATAAAAAATAATATTTAGTTCGGTTTTAATTTACTAATCACAAAATCACTATTTATACCGATAAACTCAATATTCAAAGATTGTATTACAGTGTTGAATTGTAACCTTTAAGAATAAGTTTATTTAAAGGATCGATTAGTTCACTCCGATTGTATCTAAATTTACTGGCCCTGTAAACAACATCAGTGTAAAAGTTAAGATGAGCACTTCCGTTTGCAATTAGTTTTTTTACAGTATCAACAAACTTCGAAATCAAATCTTTGTATCTTTGGAAGAAATGATTTAGTAAAGGTTTAAAGTAATGTGTGGTAACGAAGTTCTCGAATTTATAAATTACCAGTAATACATACATTACGTTCATTGGGAACACTAGGGTACGAAAATCGTCCCATTTGTCGTAAATGTTTGTGCAGAGCTTCCCGTATAAAACTGAAATATATAAATCTAGGGAAGGACAGTTTTTTGCGGTTTATATTAGATTAATTTCAAGTAAGTACCGTTGGGTAAAATTATCGATCAATTGAATTAAGACGGTCCTTTATTGCGTTTTGCCATAAATATAACAGTATACTAACAAGTATGTTATTAAAGGGGCGCAACTGGTTCCCATAAAAATACATACAATCTGTTAATACATTTATTGGCGAACTGTACATTAGTGTTGTCGACGACAAAATTTCCTGCTTTAATCATTTCATCACACGTCCAGTAAGTGTATGTAGCATATTAACCTTTCTCATAAGAAAAAAGGCTTTATATTAGTCGCAGCAAATAAATTTGCAATCTGATTTGTTTAATTAAATAGGAAAAGTTTTGAATCCATTTTAGAAAAACTGTCTATGAAACCCATGTTTTTAGTGTTAAAAACATGGAACCACTCAAGAGAATCAAAAGCTTTGTTAAAGTCTAAACTTTAAATTTTCATTGTAGTCAATAGTATCTTGTATCTGTATAATATTGAAACCAATGTACCTATTATTTTCCTTTTTGATCAGTGTAAGTTTTCAGTTGTCTATCTTTCAAGGCATTAGCCAGAAGTTTAACATAATAATTTTAAAGTGTTATAGAACGATAGTTTTCAAGTGACAAATTATAAATCAAGGAAATAACACACATGGGTATGTGATTGACAATGTTCTGTCGTATAACAATAATAAAAAGTAGACACTATTAAAGTTTTTTAATTCCTTCCAAAAATTTCTCTAACTGTCTACATTAACACATCTAATCATGACACACGGTTCAGTTTCATTTTAAAGAAAGCGATTGTACATTCATTAAAGTTATTTGTCCTTCACAAGTCTTACTTTCACTATCACTTATTGTTTTATATCTATTGATATCATATAAATATTTTTGTGTTTCTTTTGAAGTGCAAAAATCTTCAGGATATTTTACTTTTAAATTTAACATTTAATCTCTATTTATATCTTTTTTTACAATATAATTGTGTTACAGGCTTTTTTATTTGCTTTGCCTAGATTTCTCAAGATGCTAGAAATAAGCTGATTTTTTTCAACCTCTTTCACCTACTTTGCTCTTGCTCTATCTTTGTTACCCTTTTTTAAGAGAAAAGTTTATCCTTTTCTGTATTTGTTATTGTCTGTAGCAATGTTGTATAAAAGAAAACCGACAGATACCATTGGGATATTCAAACTCATAAGTAAGAAATAAACTGACAACGCCAATGCTGAAAAAGAAAAAGACCAAGAAACAAACATCAGGACACAAAACACAACATAGAAAAACTGAGCAACTCGGACCCCATCAAAACTGGGAGTGTCTAAGTTATCGCTCTTCATCGTGTCAGGTAGGATAATAAGTCTTGTAAGTCTTTTTTAATATGGCTCTACTTTTATCACTTTTTTGTTTAGCTTTAAATTTGCAATAATTAATGGAAAGACTAACTTAAGAACTTGGAATTCACAGCAAAATTCTTCTAATTTATTCATAATAGAGGACATTTTTTAGAAAATCAAAAAAAATTTTCGCTCTTGTTAAGTATAAACAAAAAAATGACGTTGAAAATTTCCCATCTATTACTGGATAACTGAACTTCAAAAAAAGACAGATAAGCGGGTCGTCAAGATGTTCGACTTATCAATCATCTTTTTAAAGTTCTTACTACAATTCTTTCTGCAGTAATGGGGATTCTCACATATTCTAAAGATCTGCTTTGAAATCTTCAATCACAATTCTAACAATTTTGTAGTAGTATCAAAACTTACATGTTTCACGCGTTTCTGTTCTATCCATCATTTTCAATTGAAAGATCGACTACATCGTCTGATAAAACAGAGATTGTTGTTCAAAAATGAGAATCGTAGATAAAGATTCCTTGTTTTATGTCCTCAAAAAAATTTATTCTGTGAAGAACCACACTGATCCCAACAACAAATACCCCGAATATGATATCATTCAAAGGGTGGACATTTATTGCATGAGTTTGGTGGATTAATATATCTTCCAATGGGACCTAATTGTGCATCCCAACTTGCCGACTTGTTTTGTGCTCAATTAGCTAAATTCATAGAAAATCTTCTCAAAGACATTATGAAAACGAATCTGTCACTCAATAACCCATGCTAGCATCTCATATATCTCATGGAACGTTACAATAGATACTACCGAAACTAGGAGGCTTCTTGATATCATTTCTTTTTCGTTTTGAATTATTCAATGCTATTGACACCGATGAACTATTTCAAAGTAGAATAAATGACAAACAGGATGATTTCCAATTACGTAGTAGAAAGAAACCTTCTGCCCCGTCATATGGCGTTTACATATTTTACCTCGTGCATGTTAACACTTTACGGATTTTTAGGGGTGTACACCTAACACAAAAACTGGAAGAACAGAATTATGAGGGAGAACGACTGAAATCGACATAACATGACTTTTACAGTAACCATCACCAATTGATTGACCGATACAAAGTGCCTCAGTATCAACTTATTGTCGCAATGTTTGCCGCGGTCTTAAATCTTTAGATACCAGTATAGTGAACTGATTTGTAATTTTACCAAATGTGTCCTTTTTGAAATTTTGGCTGAGTGTGGAGTTGCCTGACGGATGATGCATACATAGCATGGGACGCCTACCCTCTGTATGCACCCTGTATTGCTCTTTTTGAGTTTCATGCAATTCCCTTATTCTTTGTTTATATCTTGATTTGTATTGGTCCTAATCGATTTATGAGATTTGAACCTTGGTAAACTGGTGTTGCTTGAATATACCAAATATTTTGAATTAGGACTTTCCTGATTCCCTCTTATACCGTTAACCCGAAGACTAAAAGACAAATATGTGAAGGAACTACATTTTCAGGTTACCGTTTGACCTTCACCAATGTGCAAAACCTTACCTGACAGTAAGCTATAAAATGCCAAAGGATAGCATATTCTGAAACAGTTCAAAGAAAAAAAAACAATGACCCGATTTGAGCTTTAATATCAAAGAAAAACAGCAGACATCAATCATCGACAACCTTTTGACGTTACATGTATGCTCATGGCTTAGGACAGACCCGTTAACAATGATCATTAAAAACATCAACTGTATTTGTCTTGAATTGTTGGTGTATATTATGGTTATATTAATATGCTTGGTTATTGCCTTGTTGATTAAACACATATGTGTGTATTGGAACTTCACAATTGCATAGTGTATCTATCATAGTTAATTTAATTGATTGATCATGTTGATTGTTGGTTGAATGGTGGCGGTCAGTTTTTATTGGAAGAGGATGCTGGGGTGCCAGGAGAGAAACGCCGACCGTCGACAGAAAAACTGGCAATTCTAGTCAATAAAGATATGAAAAGAACACACCTGCCACCTGCGGGGTTCGAGTTCACAACTTTAGTGTTGACAGGTTAGTAAATGAACAAATTAGACCTTTCGACCACAGAAGCTCTTAGTTAATTAAAGGCAACATTAGCTGACTGTTGTTTAATTCTCTCCGTATGAGGATACTAATCAAGGTAAAATACAAGAACTCCAAAAGTAGCGAAACAAGATGCAAATCAACACTCAGATAGCATGTCACAATCGGGAATAGGATACAATCCATTAATTTACAGATCAGATAACAAGTCTGGTATCCAAAGATCTAACACCACAAAATGATTACGCAAGAGAGTTGAGACACAGACCCGTCGTATCCGTCATGTAATTTGTGATAGCGACCATAACACTTTAATGTCCTGCCAATTTCAGTCGTTTTCCTTCAATAAAATTGTTTAACGACAAACGATTTGTCGCCAAGCTGATTAAGTACTTGATTGTTGTCCATTGGAAATAAATCTGTAACACAGTTAAAGTTGTTGTTATCTATAAGTTTTCATTGTATGAAGAATGTTAATATTTTCCGAGAGCATCTACCGAAAAAAATATGACTTTTCGACGATGAACAAATCTTCTTCATATCTCCCTAATCCAAGAGAAGTGAATCTTTTATTCCATTCCGTATATACGTTTTTACTTCATGAATTTTAATTTACAATCAATTTTTCAAAACTGCTTTTATTTTTAACTATATACAACATAAGCAGTACTGATCAAAAGTAAATGTATTACGTGACAAGCTTTTTTTCTGTTTTATATTATGTCTTGGTAAATTTTGAACACAATAATAATAATAACATCTCTATTCAAAAATGTTAAAAAGTCATTTACAGCAGTAACGTCACACGAGGTAGTGGCGGTGTATACACAGAGTGGAATATGATATTCAGAGGCGAATATAAAGTTTTGTTCAATGTCACTTGGGAAAGACTCATTCAAACAATTATTGATTACGCTATCCATATTCACATGCTGTGGAATAATAAATATATATGTCTTTTATCCTAGGATGTGACGATTTGTAAATTTAAGAAATTTCATATTTATCGAGGGAAGGACAGTGAATAAATCTTTGAACATCTCACTTATACAAGGAAAATCAAAGTTTTTACTCCTCTTCTTACTTTGACTTCTATAAAAACAATATTCAGGAGCATTAAAACTCTCATATCCCCTTGATTATATTACTAAGTTATAGAAGTAATAGCAATTATTGCTATTCTATGAAATCGCATATTTTTGCAATTATATGCCCGATTTAATTTAAAGATGGTATTGACAATTATTTAGCAGACGTGTAAACAGAGTTGAAACGCCATATTAATCACGTGTAACGCCGCGTGAGGTAGTTCAGCAAGAAAGTGTAATCAGAGGAAACTATGTTGTTTGTTTCAATGTAAAATTGAAGGTCTTGATCAGGAAAATATCTATAAAGCTATGAATATTAACGTACAATAAGGAATAATAGAAAATATCAAATGAAATTATTTATTCTTCGTCATAAGACTTTGTTTAAATTGTGTGCCTCTTCCATATTGAGGTAAATATATATATCAAAGTAATAAGGAGATGTGGTATGATTGCCAATGAGACAACTATCCACTATAGTTCATATGAACGGGATATAAGCAATTATAGACAATCGTACGCGATTTTAAACAAATCCTTACCTTGTTCTGTTGTTCTATTGGGTTCCTTCTTTGATGATGGAGGACCCTTTTTTTCTTTTGTTTCTTTCAATGGATATAACCCTATGTTAAAAAGGAAATCTTTTATATTAGAGAAAATCATTATGATTCTAATGTTTGTTTATGTTGCAAATTTTTATCTTCATATGTACAATAATGTTATTAAAAATAATTTAACTCCCTCCATTTAATTGGATCAAAACCCGTTTGGCTATTAAATCCACTTGTTTCTTGGTTTGATAGATATTTTAAATTGCAACCTTCAAAATCTTGTGCCCTCGATCGTACAGATAAAATTATTCCCAAAATCCGTGCTGTGCAACCTGAAATATTCAATAAACCAAATACCGATTATTTTCTATCATGATTATGTGAACAGTTTTAAATAAAATTGCGAGAGAAATCGAAGGTGATAAGCATTTTCGCCGCTTATTAAGTACATGCTATACATAAAGAGATATGTTACAAAAATTTTTATTAATTGTATTTTTTTGAAGGATAATGCAATATATATATTACACAGACTGTAACTGGCCTAATATGGTCAGGAAATTAATAGGGGGTGGACCATATTTGGTCACATATTGATTGTGTAATATATTTTACTTACTTTGACTATTTTACAAAAACCGTCATTTATATCAAGAACTATAATTTTTGTACACTATATATTGAAATCTAAAGAAGATAGCATTTAACTATATACATGGTAATTTTGCATGCTCATTTTAAATTTGTATTTATTCATACAAAAACTATACTGATTGGCAATAATTAGATTTTAAAGTAATATCAGTTACTATCTTACCTGAACTATTATAAAGAACAGATGCTTGGACAGCAACATGAATGTTATTTCCACTTATTTTATTGTCAAATCTTAATTCGCAAACAAATATATAATCTTTTTCAATAACATTTAAAGTTTTTTTATAAACAAAATAATTCGATCCACATTCACATTCACTATATTGACATTTTTGTCTGCCTATAAAGCATGATTCGTTTGTTGGCCCAATGTTTGCCAACGATTTATTATTCAACAGAAATGCTGCAACGGGTATGGATGGTTCTTTTGAAGCCGAGCAGTTTTGTGTCACCAACAGACGTCCTTCAGACTTTTCCACATTTACTTCTAACTGTATATTTTCGTTGGTGGATGAACATATCACACAGTAAATAACAAAAACTAAAACGATTTCCTTCGTATTTGATATACCAGCAAACATATTCAAAATATATCACGGCTCAAAAACTACATACTCAAAACTGCAATTATATTCCGGCTGGAAACATTCATCAGGGAAATCTAAAACAAAGTAAAAACGTATAAACATGTATCTCTGTATTGATATGTTGTTATTTCACAAGTTTCATGTATAACGTTATTGTTTTAATTAGTCCGGCAAATCCTATTTGAGCATATTTAGTATTGTTTAACATAACAAGGCGATATAGAATACTTTTTGATATGATAACATTCTACCAAAGACAAAAGGACAAGGATTCAAACTTCTACAGGTGACTATGCGGCCTTTAATAATGGCCAGATTCCGTACTGCACAGTAAGCTATAAATTGAGCCGATAGTAGTTTACCGATGTTCAAATATCATTAATCGTTTACGTAAAGATGTATCAAGGTAAATGAGGGAATCGAATGAACTGCAAATTAAGCGAGACCAGAAACGTCGCAACGGCTAGATTATCATGCCTTAAAAGGCCCCGGAATAACTAAATGTGAAATCATTTAAAACAGAAAACTAACGTTCTTAATTAAGCAAATAACAATTCACGAAAAAATGTAACTGACGGCAACCAACGATAAAAAGTTGACAACAGGCTCTTGGATTGGGACAGGCACATACAGATTTTGACGGGGTTTAACAGGTGTGTGACACCTACTCCATCTCTCGACTGGACTGACAGATTAATGAGCACAATAACACCGGATAAAGTGTAAAGACGTCCTATGCAGACTCGGAATAGTAGGACCTTCTTCAATATCAAGACATAAATATCGACAAGATATAGTACCGTAAATAGATATAATTACATATATATCAATAGTAAGAAATATAGCAAAATCTTTTAGCTATGTATAAAACGTTTTTAAACATTTGACAAAGAAATAAATGTAAGTACTACAATATTCAAAGATCTAACTAATCAATTACATTTTTAAAAGGACCAATAGGATATTTACGTTTATTTTGCCCGGATCTCAAACTACAAGCTACATCACCGTTAAAATCAGTATGTGTTATCTTTTTGGAATATGATTTCTACAGATATGGCCAAACTTTCTTACCAAATCTTTGTACTTATGAAAACATTTAATGAACGTTTTGGGGGTAATTTGTGGTAACGAAATACATGATTTAGTAATTATACAGTTATATATAGATTGCGCTCATTGAAATCAAAAATGTCACTACAAACATGAGCATAGAATGTAAAAGTAAGTTTTAAGAAGAGTTAGCATGGTTAATGTCTATTAGTTTGGTTTCAAATCCTTTTTCATTTTGTGTGTGAAGGGACTTTGATTATAATTTAACTTGTTTCACATTTATTGAAGGCAAAGAATACAGTATTTTCGCAAATCTTGATAAAGTATTTAGAGTGTTTACAAATTTTACAGAAACAAAGGTAATCTATTATAGTATTTTGGATTTAATCTGAAAAATAGTTATGAAACGTGATCGCTATTCCATATTGACTAGTGAATTGCAATAATTTTATAACCATACTATAAATTAAACATGCAATTCCACCAAAGGCTAAATTCTTCTACATTTGGTATTATTAAGAGCTTGACATCATGCATGAATACATGTTTTATTTACTAACGTGTGTTGACCTCTTAGACTAGATATTTTCTTTTTTTTTTGGGGGGAAAGGGGGGGGGGGGGTGGGGGTTCAGGATGTCTCAAATACCAAACACCCCCCTTCACCCAAAGGTGTACTTATAATACAATGAAGCGATAAATCGTGTCTGAATTTGGCGTTATATTTTCATGTATATTAATATAATTGATTTATCAGTAACACGTAATAGTTTTCATGAAGTTAATTGTATCAAAATATATTTTATAAAACTTTCATAATAAGAAGCTCTTAGCTCACTTTAGCAATCCTAGCTTCCTTTGTTATAAAGTTATCTTCTATGTTATATACTAAATGATATCATTTACTGAATACACATGATTATATAGTCATCAGCATAACACTTGTGTTCAAATTTTATGCTTGGCTCTAGATAGCAGTAGTCTATACGAATTGAGCATGAATTTGTCAGACATTACAAAACAAATTTGCCGTGAACTTAAATTCCCTTACAAAAATATAAACGGTATATTGAATTATTTGATAGTTTGTGCAGAAATATGGCCAATGTGCGCGTACATAGCAGCACAGATGAAAATAAGAGTATAAAAAAGAATTCAATCAGTATGAGAGCCTTGTCTCTGTTATAATTAACTATATGCCTTTACTTTACACAACCTTATGCTATGTAAGTTTTTTTAAAGACATTTTTGTGAGGCTAACAAGTTTAGTGAGCGGCAACCAGAACTTGGAGTCCAATTTTAAATAACTCCAAATGTATATTAAATGCATCCATAATATTATCATACCAAGGACCTTTTTGAAAAGTGTATAATTGATACCATCACAATGTACTGCCCAGAATTATGTAATGTGCAACACGATGAAACAATAAAAGTGTGAAATTGTTTGGTGTGTTTGAGCTTTTGATTTTGCCATTTGATTAGGGACTTTCCGATTTGAAATTCGCTCGCAGTTTGATATTTTTGTGATTTTACTTTTTGGCAAGTTGAGCATATCTTTTTGCGCAAACATATTTGCCTGTGTTACTCAATCACAGTAGCCGTAACTGTCTGATCTATCTATTTGTTATTCCTAATTGCATCTTTGACGATTAAAATTATCAAAGTCTTTATTATTCTTCTGTTAATTTTTTTTAAATTGCCCGTTCGTATCTTCTCATTCCTCGATGACATAAAAAAAATAATAAGTTGTGATGGTGTTGGTGACGAGAAGATGAACTTCAAGTTTGGCACGTAGACTTTTGTTTATACCAGTCAGTGTACAATACAATCTTGTCTTAGTCAACAAACTCCATCGCTTTCGGCGATTAAGAAGGCAAATCAGCATGGTAAAATAAAGCCAACTTAATAACATGTAACTCACACTATGTCAATTGTTTATAGCAATATTTTGACAATGTAAGTGAAGTGTTTCACTTTCCATCAACGCAATTGAAAGTGCAAAATCATTTCAGTAACCCAACTTCTAGTGTAATTTTATCATTTTTTTTTTAGTTTTTTTTTTTCGCCGCACCTTGGTTTTCAGATTGCATATAAAAAACGAGTATTACGCATAAAAGGCATTTTGGAATATAATTGAAAAAATTTTCATTTTACAACTTTTCCTTTTGTTTTTTAGCTTAAACTTGCACCACATTTTGCTCGACTATAATCATGAACTTGTCTATTTTCCAAAATTGATAATTTTTAGAAATTCTATCAAATTCATTTCATAAGTTAATTAGATAACAATCGACAGAGCTTAAAGGAACATTAGCTGCGAGATATAGAAAAAGATAAAATATGATATTTTTTGTTCAATCATTAATGAAAGTGAAATATTGAAATAATAATTCGATTTCAGCAACCAGTTTGGTTCAGTTTTGTCAAAATAAGCAAAGAAACATCGCTAATGAATTATTCACTTGTTGTGAATAATTCGACCTCATTTTATCGGTATTCATATGAATTTTAATTGAATCCCTTAGCTAGAGATGGGTTACACACGAACTAGGTGTGTGCAGCTTTTAAAAGGAAAAGTATGTCAACATTGGAAGTGAAACAAAAGTAAACCATTTGATTGACTTATTCGATCTACTAAAACTAATTCTTATACATCCAAAAATTATTGACATAATGTTTTAACCTATGATAGGAAATCAAACAGGCCTAGAAAAATCCAATTGCACGAGTTCACTTTCTATTTATATCTATGTTTATGATTTTTTTCGGGTTATTTGACCGTTGGCAGTCTTCGGAAGGTCACCTCGATAGTAAATTAGATGGCGTCTAGACTAAAATACACGCAAAATACGGATACATACTATCAAGTTTATGTATTGTTAATTGTTATTTTAGAAGTTTTAGTATGTTATAAGTCGAATATGAGAATTTGAGTCAAACCGCTGAACATGAATTTGACAGGTTTAAGGTTTCAACTGACTATTGCATGTTTGACCTCAGAATTATTTAATTGGTTACTGGTTGTTATTTTCATTGAAATTAATACACATACCTTTTCTCCACTTCATCAATTGATATGAAAAAAACAATTTCAGCATATTATTTCCCCTTTTTTTTACTTTTTAAAACTTTTACTGGGGGCATAGATTAATGCATGACTGCTAAAATCCCCAAAACAACAATTAGCAAAAACACGTTCTAGTGTTAGACACAACATCTGCGCATTGTCAGAACTGTCATAATAAATAAATTATCGACACCGAAATGAAAAAAAAATACTGTGATTATTTGCCCGACACTCAACAACAACAACAAAAACAATACACACATTTAGATCACCTGACACTACCAATGTACTTTTCAAAGAGAATAAGATTTAAGAAAAGCTACATCTGATGCAGACATATAAATTCCTTCAAAAAATAAAACTAACCAAACATGTACACACTGGACATACACAGTCGTTATTGGTATAACGTTTTCTGCTTACTTTTAAAAATAACAAAATTTTATCAATATATACTATTTTTTATTTAGATCACTAGTATTTTGATCACTAAAAACTCGACTTATCTAAACAATGAAAAAACTACCGAATACCTTTTCGGTTTTCAAATGAAATCAGTATATATGTAAAAAGAGGGACGTTCAAACTAATTTGTCAAAAACAAACTGACAACGCCATAGCAAAAAAGGACCAAAAGAAAAACCAATAGTATACATAACACAAAGTACAAAACTAAAGACTGCGCAACACGAACCCCGCCAAAACCGGTGGTGATCTCAAAATCTACGTAAAGGGTAAGCAGATTCGAATTGCAGTATTGTTTTGTCTGCACTTGATTTTTGTCGTTTGTGGATGGAAGATACAACTTTCTTGTTGAAAAACTGGGCTAATCTTATTTTGCTACCAACGACAATAAATCATACAACAAACCCACCGAAGATGATATCTTCAAAATGCCGGATTTTTTACAACATAATGTTCAGTATAGTGAATTCTTTTTTAAGCAAACACTCGGCTCTCCAATTAGAAGTAATTGTAAAACCACCATTTGCCGACTTTTTTTCATGAATTGAAGTAGAATTCATAGAATAACCTTTCAAAAACAAACAAATAAAGTTTTTTAATTTTACGTTCAGATATATTGATGATGTCATGTCTATCAATAATCGCACAGTTTAGGGGTTTCTTGCATTACAGTGAAATTCACAATACTACAGAAAAGAGAAGTTATGTTTGATATCTGGAAATGTTTTTTGCTATGCTTAATGGTTGTCATTTGTTGCTTTTTATCATATTTGTTTTTCGTTTGATGTTTTGTACATAAATCAGGCCGCTCGTTTTCAAAAGAAGCATTCCTGCATACGTGAATTGATTGATCAATACGACGTTTCTTTGTTTTAACTAACGAAAACCCAGATTTTTAAATACAATTTTACACTTATTATTTGTAAACTTATTGAGTGTTTTCTTCTCACTATTGTGACATTTTGACTGAGTTTGGTTTCGCATGAGAGGTGGTTCATGTTAAGCAGGAAACGCTTACCACTTACAGCACTTGATCTTGCTCCGTTTGGGTTACATGCGATTCCCTTTTGTTTTATTTGGATTTGTATTGAATAAACTTTAATCGAACCACAGCAGATATTTCGAACAGTCCATTACGCATATTTAGAATAAACTTTTATCAGGTATGTTCGGCAAAACCTTTTGACAGACAAATTAAGAAATGTTTGAGAACATAAAAACACAAGAATATAAACAATATATTATAGTTAGATTTTATAGGTATCCTGTCTGAGAAATGAAATTATCAATAAGGAATAAATCGTGTCGTTTGATGTAAAATATAGCATAGTTTAACTCATGAAACAGATTATCCGAATAAAGAAATAAAAAACAACAGCTTTAAAGATGGGTTCTTATGGTGCATCAACGTCTGATTATCCGCTGGTTTAGAGTACACTCAAACGTGTTAAGCAAGATCAAGACAACAGCTAATCGCAGTATTGACGGCATTTGTTTAACAGATGTTAATCAAGCAGAATCTGCGAATTGAAACCACAATGCCAGATAAAGTTAACAAACAAAACTAAATCGGGCAAAATGTTTTAACAAACAATCGCATAAATTTCTCATACGATCTTATCCAAAAAATAAAACAATACAAATATTAAAACAACCGTGGTTTGTATATGTTGGTGATTGTCCACCATTTTGTTTTGTCTAGTTAATATGTTTTTTTTTCATATTATATTTATGATTTAAAGTATACCATTTTAACAAGAATTTCTTCTATTGCCTAAGCTAATTCTAAATAGTTTATACTTAATCATTTAAAGTCAGCTAAGTAGCAAATTCGTACTGTAAAATACAGTTGTACTAACCTGTTGAAATGATATCCTGCACGTAACAAAAATAATATTGAATCATAGTCTATGGTTATTTACAGTAAACGTACGATAGACACTCTAATAATTCATGTGTATTCACCTGTGTGTGTATCAAGAGGATATACTATCTAACAGAATGCAGGTCATGGTTGAAGTTTAAAAAAAACAAAAATACGGTAAGTTTGCTGTGGTGTATTGTGTGTTCTTTGCCGTTTATACGGAAATATTTGTCAAACATATTTTTCATATTGAGTTTGAACATAACATATTGTGAGTTCTAGGCAAGAAGTCATTTAACATAAATAACCAATCAGAAATATAACTTGCGATCGTCATATTGTACTAGGTAAGTACATGATTTATAAAGTAACTACATTGCTTGTCAGTGTATTTTTACACCTAATACATAACACAGTGTTGGGTACTTGATATTCCATATAGTAAATTTTTGTTTCTTTAAAGAAATACACGATGGTATAATGTCGTTTTAAACAAAACTATTATTTGATATGCCACTTCGTTAACAATAATTATATATTTGACGAAGAACAGCCATTGTAAAAAAATTTGACTTATTTTTAGAATGTGTATAATACAAGAGTAGTAACACTAAAAAAAGCACCCACAACAGGTAAATAAATCTTTTAAAAAGATTACTGCTGATATTTTAATATGTGTTTGTATTTAATATCTCTTCGTATCGATCGTTGCAGCTTTTGTAAGTTATCTTCAATGCTGTTTGATTGCATGAGAATACTACTGAATTCAAAAATACAATTACTACTACCTGTAAGTAAATCATCAAATGAAAATGAAAAGATATATCGCACTTTGTGATTATCTAGATTCAGTTGAAAAAAACTAAATAACAATTGCCACTGCTTTGTAAAATAAATAGAATATGGAAGTTTTTTGGTTAATCAAGTTTTGTATAATTATTTCTTAAACGTTTTACCATGGAAGTCACAAATACATTTTTTATACACATCTTTTTTACACTCTTTCTATTAGATCAGACAGTTCTCTAACCACAACTTTATAAAGTATTTTTCTTATTTTCATGCGTTTTTGATATTTCTCGATCAGTGTGAAAAAACTATTTCTCGTCTCTAGAGAAAACTTTGTTCTCGGCAAATGATTGGTCAAAATTCAATTATGACGTTAAAATCTCTTGGTTTCTTCTGAATTTCTTATTTTGCCGTCAAGTGAAAGTGAAGAGCATTGAGGACCCTAAATTCCTAAAATGTTTGCCAAATACAGCTAAGGTAATCTATTCTTTGGGTAGACAATCCTTCGTAATTTGGAAATTGCAAGTTTTTATTTCAACAGTTAATGTATAACTATAATCATATCAATGATAATTCGTGTCAACACAGAAGTGATGACTACTGGGCTGCGGATGATATCGAGGAAAAAACTCCACAGCATTGGCATCGACCCAGTGTTCGTAAATAAACCTCATCAAAGAAACCATGATATAAATTGTGTATGACAGACGAGCGTTTCATCTACAAAAGACTCATCATTGACGCTTGAATCTTACAGCTAAATGACAACCGAAATCACTAAAGAAAGTATTGACCGTAAACAGGTAGGAACACCAGTCATACCAAAAGACATGTTTTCGCCCTCAAATTGTACCAATTGTAATAAGTTATTAACAATATTAGAAATCGGGAATACATAAGAAAATCAATAAACATCCAATAATTGTGCACCCAGAAAGATTGCATATTATGTAGTATAATGTAGTGGATGAAAGTCAAACAACATGACAGTAAACATCAAGAAAACCGGATTTATTTTTCTAAACAAAATTTGGAAAATCAAGAAAATTACAAAAGTATCGCATCAAACATTTTGATCACAAAAGAACTAAACAAAGAAGCCGATATTTTCTATAAACATACAGATTACAAACAATATTTAACTTTATTCATACTTAAGATATTAGGCAATCATCACCTTATATAATATCAGTGTATGAAAGTTTTGTATACAGTTACTTTTACGTAAATTTTTCAGCACAAATACTGACTTGTATTTCTATTATGGGTTCGACGTTGTTTATGCTGTTGGTGACTCTCATTTTGCTAAAAGGTAATTCTGTTTTTCGTTTAAAAGATATTTAAGGAAGTTTCATCCTGAATCACTGTATGAAGGCTTCATTGGAGTGATTATTACGAAATTAAAAGAAAGCAAGAGGAAAAGCTAAAAAAAGGAAATCAGCCATATGAAACTTCAGCAAAACGTGAGAAAACATGATCGAATGAAGAAAAATATCAGTTGCTCAAAAACGATAACTAGGTACTTACGATGATAAGTCACATTTTGTAATTAGAACAACAGGACATAAAGAAGATCCAAATCGGGACAAAGAATTAGATATATGCGTGAAAGGGATGCATGCCTTCATTTAAAATTAGAAACACAATTTTATAGCAGTACATTTCAATCAGACAATATATATATATATATATATATATATAAATATAATCAAGTCTAAATTGAAAACAACGTTCAAACCTATGATTGCGTTTGATAAAAACCGCAATTTTTATACGTGTGCATGCAAAACAAATTTCTTGGTAGAGGGGTCTAAATACAGCACAAACAACATTTTCCAAAAGACCAAATGAGTGAAAAAGTATATTTTAACAAAACGCATTTGACTAGCAGGTCGAACAACTGATGTTCTTAACCCCTGCTGACTGCCATTGGTGATTGCCAAATAAACGGATCACAAGCGTAACAAAATAGATCTTATTATTAATTTATTACCAAACAGAAAACAAAAAACTTGCGAAAAAGATGGTATACCGCAAACATGAGGTGCAAAAATTTGTACACCATATCCGGATTTCGACAATTAATGTCTCTTCAGTGATGTTAAGAATCGAAACGGTATTTGGAAGGCCATATAATTTACCTCAATTTAGTATAGATTCTTGAATTTTGAAAGAGTCAAAATAGGATGAACGGATCATTTTAACCCGAAGGCAAATATAATACAAGCCCAAACGATAAAATATAAACAAGTCTAAATTGAAAACAACGTTCAAACCTATGATTGCGTTGGATAAAAACCGCATTTTTTATACGTGTGTTCATGCAAAACAAATTTCTTGGTAGAGGGGTCTAAATACAGTTCAAACAACATTTTCCAAAAGACCTTAAGAGTGAAAAAGTATATTTTAACAAAACGCATTTGACATACATCTGGAATCAATTTCATCTTCATGCCTAAGATAGCATGTACTGTGTTACCACTCTAGATTCTACTGACGAGGAAAGGTACCACTAGGCCACCGAAATTAGTTCAGTCTAGGTGGCCGAGTGGTCTAGAACGATTGACAACGTGCAGGCGGTGTTGTCTCGATATCCCAATAGCATGAGTTTGAATTCCAGCAAGGCAAGAACAAAAATTTCGTCCTCAAATTAGCAGATTTAACATTGTTGTGCTGATATTTAGAGTAGTTATAAATATGATATGTGTTTTCAGCCGTGTATCACCTTCACTGGTGATCCATGGCATGGATCTGTCGTAGAATTTTCACATGTTTAGACGTACAAAATATGTCATTTTTTTTTAAATATATATTCAATGCACGTTAGCAGTGTAACTAATATTGTTTACAATTTGTAAAAAAGGCAGATCACGGTGAAACTTGTATAACAAGCATAGATTTATGCGTACAATATTTACAAATGTATTTAAACTGTATTGTCATTTTAACTTTTCAGAATTGATAGAAGTGAAATGTATTTGTTTCACATCGACCTGGAAAAGAAATGAACTTCAATTGATTTGCACAATTAATCATTTGATATATGACGTAACGATACTTGACCAAAATGGTAAAGAGCAAGCTTCATGCTTGATTCCATCGTTCGAGTCGAAATGCGTTTCTTATCATTCACATGGACATATTTCACAGGACATAGTGACAAATAAAACTATATTTAAAGTATGGCAGTTTGGTCATGGCGATTCCTTTGACGGCAATTGGACATGCCGTCATGGTAGAGGAAAAGAACAAGCAACTACAGAAGTCAGTTTGGAAGATTGTATGTATTACTAATATTAAAATGAGGTTTTCAATGAGATTTGACCGACAAAATAATATTCATGACAATTTATTTGAATTTTATGTTGTTGTTAGTTGTCTTTCATGTATTTATATAACTTTCTCTAATTCTTCGTCAATTTATCCCTTTCTGCACCCATTGTATAAAAAAAATTTAATCAACGTGTGGTTCGTTTGATCTCAGTTCTATATTGGTTAAAATCCGATTATGACGTCCAATTTTCTTGCTTTCCTCTGAATTTCCTATTGTGACGACATGAAAAAAGGCGACCATGTCTGATGACGTCACATAGAAAGAACACATCGTTTTGCAGATCATTCAAAAAGAAGGAATAAGTTTGCCTGCATATTGTTTGAAAATCATTAGAGAAACAGATTCCACCACCAAATCTCGTGTAATACGATATTTATCCACTCTCGACAGTTAAATTTTAAATATTTAAAACGCTCGGCGAGCCTCGCGTTTTAAATTTGAAAATTTAACTGTCTCGAGTGGATAAATATCGTATCACACTCGATGTAGTGGTAGAATCTATATATCTCAAATACATTTTTGACATATATTCACCTCTTCCTGAACAACAATGGTTTATTCTTCCTTTTCCTACATTTTAAAATCTGGTATGTCATTTGATAAACAAAGGATTAAATCAGATTAGGTTGTAAAAACATAGAGCTATGTAACCTCAGGTCAATATCCATTAAACATTCGTGTAAAACCTCTCGAGTTTTTATCAATATATAATTGGAAATTATAACTAGTAGAATATGTTTTTAAAAAAAAATTCTACCAAATGCCTGTTCCTCTCTCGTTAAATTGTCCTGTATCTGTATTCTCTTTTTTTTCCTACACATAAGAGAAAAACATCAAAATTACTAGACAAATATAATATGTTTAGATATCAGAATTTATCATAAAATCCACACAAAGTAGGATCTAAAGGAAGCATGTTACAAGAACCATGCGCAAAGTTAGCAAGATACTGAATATTTTTCGAAATATGCATCACAAAATCAATCTATATATATAGAGTCATTGTGATCTTTTGATAAAATCCGTGAAGGATTTTAAAAGGAATGTACAGGACTTGGTTCAATCTATGGGTCCTAGGTGCGATGCATGCGATGATCTGGTTACTGTTGATCATTTAACCTTGTATGTTATGAAGTGTAGTTTGAATTTGGCTTTGCCTTTTCAATCTTTTACATTTGTTTCATTGATTCCAGAATCAAGGATATCTTTAATTAAGAAAATAGTTAAAATTTTAAACTTAATCAGTAGTATGAATATTTCAATTTAATTTTTTATTTCTGTATTAACAAAATTGAGAATTGAAACGGGGAATGTGTCAAAGAGACGGCAGTCCGACCACTGAGCAGAAAAAGCCCAACGCCACCAATGGGTCTTCAACACAGCGAGAAAATCCCGCAACCGGAGGCAGGCTTCAGCTTGCCCATTAACGATAGGGCTGAATAGTGAAATATGAATTTTAAATAAATATGCCTTAATGTGCTTTAAGTAATGAAATACTCGCTCTAACACACAATCCATTATCTTGTATATTATAAGAGCATAAGTCGGAAGCACGGGGAGGCACTCTACTTCTCTACACAGCACTAAAGACACACTCCACACTCTGTAACAATCAAATTGACCTACCTTCATCATTTCTTTTCATATTGGAAATATTAAGATTTTCCTTAAATATTAGTTCACAGTTCATTTCTATATTTAATTTTCTATATTATTCTCTGCAATGCATCTATGTTTTAATCTTTATTATCATAATAGTTCAAAAATGTGCAAAGCGTGTATTTTTTGCAATTATTAACCAGTACATTAATTAAATCTAAATTGCAAAAACAACTAATTAATTTAGAACAACAGCTATTATATTTTGTTTGTTAGAATAGAAGGAATATGTTATTTTAAAATGTAGGAAGAACAAGAAGATACCACTACGGTTCACCACCAGTGCATTTCCCCAAAATTGTAATCATCATCGTCAATTTTTGTAGAATTTGTATAAAATAGTTTTGGTTTTGAAGAATTATTTATCATCTCAAATCAGTGATATAAGTCTCCCTGCCAAGGAAACCATTGTGATTGGACCTTTCCCAGAATAGCAATGTCTTCAGTCACCATCGATTATGTACCAAGAAATAGCCCTCATGGAAATTATGCAATTTGTGCGAAAAAGTTAAGGTCATTATAAAGGATGGTTGTCTTTTTTTGGGGAAATACACAAAGTCCTATCAATCTATATATAACTGCTAATTCCCGAAGGCTTATTGCGAACTGATTTTGTGTTATTATTTCGATATATATATATCATTGCCATGTTAAAAGTTGATCTTAGGTGAATTTTTAATCTTTTGTGTCCTTATGGTTACTAATGTCCTCACGTAATTAAGTATGTGTACATCATTGGTTTTATAAGTTTTTGTTTTTAGCGTTTCTATTGAAAGTTAATCCAGAAAAGCGTTTTGGACGCACCAAGTTTATTGAGTGTTATTTTCTGTGTCCAGTCCCCCCTCTCCCCGACTTATTTTGCAGCAACTTGATGGAGAATTCAGCAGAATTTGTGTGATTTCGAATTTATCTGCAGTATTATATCATTGATACAGTTTTCAATGTTTGCTAGTTTATGCAATATTAGCCCAAATGTGTGTGTCAGGTACAGCCCACGTTATCACAGGAAGTTAATGGTAACATTTTCCAAAAAAAGTAAATATTTGATGTAAAAGTATAAGTATAGATGTAGATATAAATATCCCCGTGGAAACCTATGTAGTGATTTCAGAAGAGTACATCTGTTTTCTAAATCTTCATCGAATAAATCTTTGACCTTATTTGAAATCGTACCCACTTACATTAAAAGTTTCTTATAGTCAGCTCCGAACCTGTAGTACTGACGTAAAAGTGTCAGGTGTAAGAAAATTGTATATACATATATAAATCATTGGATAAATGTCGATGTGACTGTTCTTGGTAGATGTCATCGTCTATTAGAGGTTTAAAATAAAATATTTTCTTTGCCTTTTTTATATGGTTTTTGATGTGTTAAAAAATATCCATTCCAGAACTTTGCCATTTATTAAATTAATTTCATGATTTTGGATTATATTTTTTATTAAGCGAGATGTGCAAAAGAAGATATCTTCACACATAGTGTGTCTTATTTGGGATAAAATCATTATTTTCAACAATGATGAATCGAGTCAAAACCATTGGAAACCTGAAATTTGAAATATGAAAATGGGTTCGGAATAAATAATAATTGTACTTCAAAAGTCTAATATGCACTGGTTTCAGAGGCTTGGACAATAGTTTGTCGCTTTCCGTAGCAGTCATCGTCAAAACCTACTTTGACGGCTTTATCTCCTTTTATCCTTTTATTTCTTGCATGAATTATTCATGTGACATGTTGAATTTGATCGTTTGCCATGTTTGGACTGGTGTTATTACTTGGTATCGTTTTGGTAATCTCATACTTATATTGCAATATGTAACGTTTTGATAGTTCTTATCCTAATTGACGATTAAATTAACAACATCAGTGTTTTGCCTTGTATAAGAAAAAATATATTAGATAGAAAAAATGCAATCTACTAAATTGATTAACTATACAGGATCTACCAAAGTTTCTACAATATTACTGCAATCATTAATGATTCCTTATCATTGTGGTACACAGCTAGATGATGCCCCGCTTGCATATAACATTAAAAAGGGACATAATTCAAGAACTGTCAAAGTGACGCTACCCAAATTTGTACTTGATCTGAGTTTTGTGGTAATAAGCATTGTGTATACGTTTTATAACATTTAATTAAGGCAAACTTAAGTTAGAGAACGGAAACGAAAAATTCAGCAATTTTTCTATTTGTAAAGTGGCATAACTCTAGAATGGAAATAGTGACGCCGCCAAAATTTAAACTTGATCTGTGTTTTGTGAAAAATGGGCATTATGTAAAAGTTTTATAACATTTGGTTGAAGCAAACTAAAGTTAGAGAACGGAAACAAAAAAATCAGCAATTTTTCCATTTGTATAGAGACATAACTCTAGAACGGTAAAGGTGACGCCACCAAAATTCAAACTTGATCTGTGTTTTGTTGTAATGAGCATTGTGTATAGGTTTCATAACATTTGGTTGAGGCAAACTTAAGTTAGAGAACGGAAACCATTTTTGGGACGTACGGACATACGTACGTACGGACGTACAGACGGACAAGGTAAAACACTTAAAGCCCCCTCCGCTATGGTTGGGACATAACAAATGTCAGTAAAAGCGATTTGTTCATGTTGTTTTACCGAAAACATTAATCGATAGAAATAAGTCTAATCAGATAAGTTATCAGTAGACAAGATATACTTCACAGAAACTGTCGACGACTGTTTTTTGGAGGTATTGTCCGTATATGGTGACTTTATGATAATATCTTGAAAGCAGCAATATGTTTCTAGGCAAGATAAACCACATTATCTTACCTCCTATACGTTTCTAAGAATACGATTGGTTAAAAGCGTCCGCGTGTAGACCGTGTATATTCCATATTAGGTTAGTAGGGAGGCGGGGCTTATTTCAATACACGGTTAGTAGTGGAGTTACGACTTTTGCACTATTTGATTATTTAAATGCATTGAAAGTTCTGTTTAATATTGTTATACCAAAGTTGTTCATAGTAAATTGTTATTGTTGAAATAATTTTTTTGTGCAGACCAATGGAAGAAGTTCTTAAAATTGAACACTTGAACACTTTAATATAAAAATAAGAAGATGTGGTATGATTGCAAATGAGACAACTCTAGTCTTAATTCAACAAATAAAGATAGTCGGTAAGATCAATTCGTTACATAGTGTGCTAGTGACCTAATACGATATATACGGGGTCAGTAAATATCGTATTATGTCACCAACACACTATGTAACTAATAACATTGATTAAATAAACTTAATTGTGATCTAGAAATTATCTGATTGCTTACGGGATGACCATACGATTTTGTGGAGGTAGGAGGTTTTTTGGCATTGATAATTTTAAAAATATATTTCTATCGGCCATTACTGGTTTATGCTTTTTCAATCAATTTCATTTAATGAAAAAAGCAAAATGCAATGAATGATTAAACATCAATTGCAAAAACATCACTAAGAATAATAGAAAGTAAATAATTCAGTAAAACAATTCAAAATCAAAGAGGGTTTGTGAAATATTTAGAACGCTTGAAAAAAAAAAGGATTTATATATTAATATATGTGCTGATTTTCATTAAATAACATTGGGTGATGATCTTTTTATACTTAATAAAATATTGTCCTACAATGAATCCCTTTTAGACTCCAATGGTATTGAAAAGTATTCTTTATGGACTTTTATTGGCTTCATACCGACGTTGTTATTGATGAGTACCTTACAGTGTATAAGGATTTTGGGTAAACATTCAAGTAAGTTTATTACATTCATATTTGTCAGTTGCTTCACGCAAAATTGAATAATTTTTAGAGCTTGGGTTTTTCCTTAAGTTAATATATAACAGTTTCAAATAATGTGAAATGATGAGGAACTCCGTGCAAAGTAGATAATGTGGTATGATCAATTTTGATTAAACATAAAATTAAGAAGATGTGATATGATTGCAAATGAGACAACTCTTCACTAGAAACCACATTGCATAGAAGTTAACAACTATACGTCACCGTACGACCTTCAACAATGAGCAAAACCAATACCGCATATTCATCTATACAGCAACATACTGAATTACAGGATCCTTACTTGGGACAGGCACATACAGAATGTGGCGGGGTTAAATATGGTTGTGCTTTCCCAACTCTTTCTTAACTTGAGACAGTGGTGTTTAGCACAGCATATTAAAAAAACTATAAACTCAGTTGAAAAGGGCTTAACTCATTAGTCCATTTTACACATTCTTCTGTAAATTCGCATTTTAATAAATCAAACTATAAATGTAAACATCATCTCTTTATGAATAGGTGGGTGCTGCCGTAATTTAGCATTGTGCAAATGCTCAAACAGTCAGAGAAACAAAAAACAAATTAGTAGAATTGGTATGTATTTTAGATAAACTTGATACAGCACATTATTTATAATTTATTTATTATTCATTAATCTATTTATTCATTTGTAAATGTTTTGGAGATTATTCTCGAAACATCAAAAACTGATATGTTTTTTACCGGTACACTGTCAAAATTTCAAGTTCAAGTGAGATTTTGTTACAATTCCGACTATTTGTTTGTTTCATTCAAACTTGTAATATTGTAATCATCATTAATACAAGGTGCTAATCTCAGGTAACAGCAGTTAAATATTAGGACTTCTCAATACTAGGCCGTGACTTAATTCATTTAAAGCAATAAAATCAACTACTGTGCTCAACAAAATGACATAAACAGACGAGCCAAACATCTTGAAAGTACAATTGCTAAGGTAATTTGTGTTAAACTGAAAACATTTGTTTTTTTTTATGTTGATAAAAAGATTGACCATTGCCTGTTTCTAATAGAAATAGAACTGAACAATGCTAGTAGATTTTACATATTGTCATTTGACCTTTGGTGGGAAGTTGTTTCATTTATAAACACACGACATATCCTAATTTTCAAATTGTATACTACATTTCAAATCATTCTTATTAATCTACATCTGCAACGCGCAGAGTTCTACATGACAAAACTTGTGAGGTCAAGTCATTTCCTAAAGCTAAAACCTTGCTCATAATATAATGAAAAAACAATATGTCTTGCTGCTACCAATTTAGTAAATATATTTGACTGAAAAATTCGCTAGTGTTATTCTATAATTTTTCAAAATACATTATATGTTATTCCAGATCTTCACAGGGCATATGGGCTCATATTCCCTGTCAGGTTTTTATATCTCTTGAGCCCAAATAACAATTATATCCTACTGGAGTGTCCAGATTTTACACTAAACACAATTTTTATCATTTTTTCCTTAAATATGATATTATTCAATAACTTGCCTAATACGACTATGCGCGTCACCTCTTTCCCTTAGATAAAGAGATAACAGGAATGACCGAAGTACAACTAATCACATCAATCACCAACAAAAAGTTATATTGTTATATTAACACTATTGTTTCAGAAAAAGGGTGAAGGTTTGGTACCATTAAAACGTTTAAACCCGCTGCATTTTTTTGCACCTGTCCTAAGTCAGGAATCTGATGTTCAGTAGTTGTCGTTTGTTGATGTGGTTCATAAGTGTTTCTCGTTTCTCGTTTTTTATATAGATTAGACCGTTGGTTTTCCCGTTTGAATGGTTTTACACTAGTAATTTTTTGGGGCCCTTTATAGCTTACTGTTCGGTGTGAGCCAAGGCTCCGTGTTGAAGACCGTACTGTGACCTATAATGGTTTACTTTTATAAATTTTGACTTGGATGGAGAGTTGTCTCATTGGCACTCATACCACATCTTCTTATATCTATATATAAAAATAACGAACTCCAAGGAAAATTCTAAACGGAAAGTCCCTTAACAAATATCAAAATCAAAAGCTCAAACACATCAAACGAAAGGAAAACAAATGCCTTATTCCTGAAATGGTACATTTCCGTACACTAGTACTTTCGATAGGTACTATTTCTGCACTTAAAATCTGTAGTACTGGACATTTACTTTTAATATTAAGTACTATTTCTTTACTTTAAAATCATTGTAATATTTAGGTACCTGTATTTTACAGTACTTGATTTGTACTTAAAATTTTGGTACAGAAATAATACAAACAGTGATCACAATATTCCATGTTTGAACATCATATTCCTCAGAGAACAAATAAAGTTTAAACAAAAAACAGTCAACAAACAAATCAAAATGAAATTTCAAAAAAAAAAAATTGAAACCGGGATTTGTTTTCTCTCAGTCGATTTACGACTTTTGAACAGCGGTATACTACTGTTGCCTTTAATTATATTTCGACTGAATAGTAATATAGATGTCCGTGTTTGACAATTTCGCCTTGGTTACCATATAATTCATAGAGAGCAATGCAGATATATGCATGTAAACGTATATGAGTTTTAACAAAATATTAATCATGTACATGTATATACAAATGACCAAAATAAACAAAATGAAGCAAAATCTCCATCACTGTATCCTTTTATTTACAGTTTGTAATTGGTTGGCGTACTTTATCTTCGTAGTCGTATTTTCTGCACTTCCGATTTGCCTCGACTTTTTCGGAACATTCCTACCAATATGTAAGTAAAGTTCTTTCAATTAAGTTTTCCTATTTGAATTGAAATTTTGTTTGTATAGCACAATATGATTACAAATAGAAGTTAACAGAAACTTCCTTTTGATAATAAAACAGTGGTTACATCAAAAATCTTGCTCGCATATCTAAGGTGTCCGACCGTTACTCATACATACCTGTGATGCTGACGCAAATTTACTACGCGTATGAGCAAGAAGAACATTAACGGTTTGTAAATTAAGTCTTCTTACATCAGGTCATAAACGTCGGCGTCAGTGTTAATGTAAAAGTAAAACGGATATCTACTTGAAAAATTTAATGTAGAGAAATGCAGACGGAAACCATTTTCCACTTAAGGATGTTCGCTCCTTTTGTTTTAGATTTTTGCCAGATATTTGGAATCCTCTGGTTTTATCCATGTAGTGCCATTAAAATTTTGCCCACTAACCCATACTTTTCTTTCCATAATTTTATTACATATAGTTTGAAAAGCCATATTTGAAAATCTTTTAGAATCCTTGTTATTTTTTCATTTTTTTTAAAGAAAAAAGGTGCCAATGTTAAATATATGAAAAGTCTAGAGAGAATCATTTCCCGCCAAATTTGCAATGGCTTATATCCCGAAAACAAGCACACGGACCCTTAATTTTTTTCTGCTTTTTTAGTTCCTTCATTTATATACTATCAATTTATAACAGTCTTTTAAAAAGCTTGTTATTTTGAAACAGAGTAGCGAACATCCTTAATTCGAGAACCCTACTATGTACATACAAATAGTTCTGTAAGTGCGTCTGACACGTATTTGAGAAGAAATAAAACAGGCATGGAGGTTTTGTTTATTATTATTCGTCCATAACATCAGATATCAGTACAGAAAATAATCATGATAATTTTCTTCAACATGAGACTGTCAAACATCTCAGTTTAGATATGATCAATAAATTCACGAAATTACATGTGGACCTCTTCATTGTTGAAGACCGAGAGGTTTATCACTTTCTGAATAGAGGACCAAAATATCACCCTCCAGCAAAATAAATTGGAATGAGTGTCGTCAGCACACTCAAGATGCTACATCATCCTATCGTATAATTTTGTATAGATGGGAGATATCTGTCAATAAGTCACTTGGTTTCTATTTTAATAAATATCTGAAGAATGTAGATATATCTGTATCCGAATCGTTCTAGGGCTAGTAATATGTTTATTTCTATGTTCACAAAAAAAACTAATATACGTACTACATTGTATTTGTTATTGCGTTTGGTGATAAAGAAAATGGAAATAGTAAAATAAATTATTTTTGGGGTGTAAGAAACTCCTTGGATGTTTTAGATAAATTAGGTGCTTTGTTTTACTTAGCGGTTCTCTACAGTTCACTTCCACATGATTTTATCAAACAGAAGCTTTATCATTTAATGAAGTTGAAATCATTCCTTCGTAAATTTTACGGACGCCATCACGAGTTGGTTGACCGTTATGGAATAACCGTTTCACAGATGATATCGGATATGTTCCTTATGTCGTAACTACAATACCCTTCCCTTTTCACGAATGTGACTTACCGAATTAGACTATTTACCGGATTTGTAATAACATAAGCAACACGACGGGTGCCACATGTGGAGCAGGATCTGCTTACCCTTACGGAGCACCTGAGATCACCCCCAGTTTTTGGTGGGGTTCGTGTTGCTTAGTCTTTAGTTTTCTATGTTGTGTCATCTGTACTATTATTTGTCTGTTTGTCTTTTTATTTTTGGCCATGGCGTTGTCAGTTTGTTTTCGATCTATGAGTTTGACTGTCCCTCTGGTATCCTTCTTCCCTCTTTAATAAAAAAGCAGAAGATACTAAGATGACATTTCAATATGCATAAGTCGAATAAAAACTTACAACGCCATGGCAAAAATAGACAAAAAAAAAACAAAGAAAAGACGTTAAAGCTGTTTGTGTCCTCCTGCACAACATCTATATACGTTTCGACAATAAAGTTTATCGAAAGATTTAAGGTATTCGTAAGGGCACCAATTGCGCCTGTCAAAAAGCAGACTTGTTTTTGTATTACTATAAATCACAATATATGGCCAAACTCAGAAAAGATCCGTCTTAATTCCATTTGATTGATAAATTTAATAACATTTGCCTTTGCCTTCATGATATAAACAATCAAGAACTCTCTAAGTACACTGCTGAAATTTACCCAAGGGAACTCACTTTAAGTTAATATAATATAGACAGAAGTAATTGCCCTATTTTAGATTTGGACCAGAGAGACGTTTTCCTTTCCTATAGTTCCTTTTTCCTTCCCTATTGTTTTTTTCCTTCCTTATTGTTTATTTTCCTTATTTGAATGGTGATGATCCTTTCACCCCTTCTTACGATGGGTGTATTCCCCTACTAGTTAGCTAGGCTTGTATCAGTCGTGACGTTTTTTGAGGCTGAAAAACCTTCATCCTGTACTTTTTGGAACAGAATATTAGAAAGTTTAATACATAATTCTTAATCAGCATAAAAACCAACGATCCTTTTGTCGGAGATCTAGATATATGTTACTAAATTATAAATGGTCTTTTTCTACAAATTCTATGTTTAATGTATAATTTATATATTTCATTATGGTATAAATCCTGTTTTTATTTTCAGCTGAAAAATTTTTCATTGCTGATGGTATTATGTTAGGAATTTGGTGCCATTTAATATCTAACATTGATGGAACAGAAGGTAAGCGAAACTTTAAATAAAGAAACCATTGATCCAGTTCATTTTTAAACATGTTTTAATAGTTCCTGTGATAGAAGTATACTAGGTCTCGATACATCATTTCTTTTCATTGCATAATTTTAAAATTTAGAGTTTATCATTGCAATTTGAACAGTCCTTATTATATTTCAGAAAGTGAAAGTAAACTTTTGGATGAAAAGGTACATGAGTTGTCAGAGACGCACGAACCACATTCGATAGAAAATCAGGAAAGAGCGTCTCTCCTTTCAAAAATTTCAACGGAGAACAAGGACTTGACATCTAAAGACGTTTCAATCGAAACCAGAGATACAAAATTGCAAAATTGCTTAACGTAAATGTGTGTGGTACAGTTGCGGTTAATATAAAGAAAAGAATGAAATTAAACAATCTTACTTTTTGTTGAAAAATAAGAAAATACTTCAAGGCTATCTTTTGGGACCTTGAAATCGTAAATAAAGACAGTATTATTCATTTTTAAATTGAGATTCGTCAGATGTTCAGAAGACATCAGTTTGTCTGATATAATTATTATATTTCAAAATGTCATCTTGCATAGTTCAGTGAAGAGCTCCAAACTTTTAAAAACATAATGCTTTACCTTACAAACTGCCAACAAAGCCTCATTTTCAGGTATTGTCTTCATTTGAGATAATACATAGGACCTCACACTATAGGAAAGTAACAATATCTGAACGACACATGGCTATTTTCAAACACATATATATCGTTTTATTCGATGCAATACCACAACACTGAATGTAACTTATTGAAAGTCTCTTCAATGTAGCCATTTTTTTTAAACACTTTATTAATGTTCTTTAATAAAATTATGAAGCTTTATATTTTAGCCATTTGAATAAATTGATCTGCTTTGCAATATTCCACTAATAGAAAAATACGGTAATCTAACTATTAGAGTATTTGAGGATTTCTGGACAATGCGCATTCGCGCATTGCACTTGTTCTTTGAAAACTTAAGCTACATCTTCCAACATTATATCATAGTATTCCTCAGCAGGCGAATGACTACATAACTGCACTTTGACTTTGTCCACGGTAAGCTTTGATAATTTGTATCTATTAAAAAACTACAATGTGTCTCATGTTTACACTGAGAGATTATATTTTCCAATCTGAATGATTTTTATATAATAAAATAGCTCAATCTCTATCTGAATATATCTATAAGTCACTGAATAAAGAGCACATTTTTAGAAGAAGGAAGCAGATAACGGTAATGATCTGTCCCAGGATATTGCAAAAATTGCAAAAACCTTTTCTCCTTTTAAAAATAAGCTTAATATTTAGTTGATGATATATACTATTAATCTAAGTGCAGCAATCTAACACTTGTTTTTTTTTGCAATTGTTTGTTAGTTTCATGATGACAATAACTACCGTTTATGTGAATCTATGTACAACTTAGTAAGATTGGTGTACCATATTTTGACCGAATTGTAGCTATTTTCAGTACGAAAGCCTTAAAGGATCATTCAAAATTCAAAATTCAGAACATGCAAATCAAGAAAAATATATATGCACAGACAAACAATCAAAAATTCGAAAGGATATGTATGTGCCAACATTATGTCAGACAAATGAAAAAAAACTTTGTCATCACTTATACTCCGGGATAGGGGGAGATCGGATGCCACTTCAATCCTTTTTCGAATGTGTCATGTTTTCCTCAGTTTATAACTTTAGACTCTTTCATCACTTTTACATTTTTCCGTAGAATACACTAAGTTCATTCAGTGAAGTAGCAGTGAATAATTGGACTATTCTACAGCAACAAAATAGTAACTTGCAAGGCACAATCCTTTATTAATTTTTTTTTTTTCTTTTTGAGGTGGAGAAGCCAGGAACCAATTGATATGCATAAAAAGTTAGCACTTTTAAAATTAAGTTACTAAGCAAATTCAAACGAACTTTATCTCGATGTAAACATTGAATGTGAATAGATCCAGAAGACCGAAAATACACGTACAGAAATCGACACAACCTTTTCTTAAAATTGTACAAAGAATAAAAAAAGAAAAAATAGTAAAAATCTTTTAACGAATAACCTACTTTGTAAAAATATTTTTCTTTAAATTATGCATTGTTATGAACCTGCACAGTCACAACTTTTAAATTATTATTGTCGCGAAAAGACATAATTTCTGTATTGAAAGTTCACGTGACAAGAACAGACCTCTGTACTCGAACACTTAGATGTAAAAAGTAGATATAGTTTGGGAAAATGTGGAACACTCCCGAGAATAGATTTAAATACTCCTCCGCAAACACTTTATCCATTACAAAAGTTCACACATACCAAATGGACGAAAAGTGTGTCAATTACAATTAATAACAAGTCGTCTAGTAGTGTCTTTCCTGATTTTGCCTTGATATCGCCATCTGTTATATGGACTTTCCTATTGACTATTCCTATTGACTTTTCCTTTTAAATATTACATGAATTTTTGCCTATGAGTTCGGTAATTTTGTTATTACACTTCAATTATATGTGATGGATACATGGCAACGATGACAGTGTACATGTAACTGTACATCCACAATCACTAGCAATATCTGCATTAGGTCGGTATACAGACCTACCACCACCAGGTCTTCTCTTAGCTGGTTATCGGGGCATTCCTGGAGTGACACCAACCTTCAGAAAATGAACACAATGCCATTTCATTTATGAACGAGGAAAAATGAGAAAAAATACTAATAATACATATGACATACAAAAGAATACAAAAACATTTATTTAATTCTAAAAATGGTATTTTACACACATTATGTAAACTTTGTAAATATTATATTGTTCACTTAAAAATCCCCCAACTACTACAGTTTAATGATGATGATGGGGGTTATTAACGACCTTGACTGGCTATACAGCCCTCGCACGGTCGGTAATTAATCTACAGTTTAAAAGTATTAATTTACTCATGTAATTGATACTCATATGTCCGTGAACACGTAGTTTTTATTGTGTCTTTCTTTTTTCTTACCACGTACCTATCATACAAGTTATATTAAAATTGAAGTAATTATAATTCCCAATGTGAACATAACTGCCAAATGTGCTGTTCTCATGTCATTATGTCAAAATAATACTCACTCGTTCAGCAATCCGAGTTGCTTGAGAAAACCATGCACCGAATCGCCCGTCTATATTTGTTCGCAAGGAATTGTACGACGACTTCACCTATCAACCTATAAGTTTAAAACGATCAATTTACAACCAAAGCATTAATCAAAGAGAACCAATAGACAAACGACACACCCGGGTCGGAAAAAACACACAAGCAGAGACAAACAATAGAATGGGACATTGCATTTGATTTTAATAATCAATCAATGAAATTTATTGCCATATGAGCATCATATTTTACAGCTTGTGACAAAACAAAATATATTCTATAAATGGCTTTTCTACCTTCATGTTCTTTTTCTGGAATATCATAGTCTTAGTCTTTTTAGTGTTAACTGACAACTGCCACCTTTCACAATATTTCGAAAAATTACTTAATAAACACTCTTGAAGACCTTTTTTGTTATTGATAGGATAATGATATCGAAGAGAAGACAGTTTACTTCAGTCCATTAATTTAAGTGGACTACAAGTATCGCTCTTGAATATATCAATTATATCATTTATGGATATATTAAACAATGTGGGACTAATTGTATCTCCTTGGCGTACACCTCGTCGTATGGTGAAGAAAGGAGAATGAGCTTCGCTAAATTTCAATGCTGAATAATGAGTTTTATTGTCAGAACATTGTGTCATTTTGTTATAATGCATCTGACTTTTGAATAAACGATGTGTTTTAAAACGGTGTATCTTTGTCTAGCCCTCTGCACTGGATAGCTGCGTTTGCCAGAAGATACTAGTTCACAATCAGAAAATAAAATGTTGTTGTTCATGTGGCTTTCGAGACGTTCAGCCATGAACCCGTTCGGCCGTATGTCGTTTCGGCCATACACCTGTTCGGCCTTGGTTGTTTCGGCCTTGGTCGTTTCGGTCCATTATACTATTTTCTTTTCATAGAAAGAACTAAGTGGGAAGTAGCCATTTCTTTATCCTATTTGATAAGACTTTCGTAATAAAGGTAATTGAAGGTGAACATGCAGTGTAAGGAAAATATCAATATTTTTTGTGTGTTTTTTTTTTTTTTATGTGTTTGTGTCCTGTAGTCGTGTGGTACTTCATTACTAGTAATTTTTCTACGTCTTGATTGAAGTACTGATGAACATGCTGAAAAGGATTGATAAAAAAAATCAAATTTGATAAATAAAGACTATACAAATATTTCATATCTTTATTGGTCACTCTGATCATCAATTAACAATATATAACAAGAACAATTAATTGCATTCAAATCAGATAAAGCACTAGATTACATGATTGGCAATATCAAGCACTGAAACATACAGAAAGATATGCAAAGCACACAATACAGAGTACATATACAAACCAATAAAATCAGTTGACATAGTATATTGATTGTCAAACACAAAAACACAAAGTACACAAACACAAGATAAGTTATCATTCACTCGTAGTCGGAGTATGCAATACATAGACATGTGACGTTTATTATGAAGACTATATATATATGTACATATATTTGTTTTAATTGACATATACCGCAACCCGTATAGCACGAACAGATGAGTTCGATAATCAGAAAAAGTCAAAATGGGAGCAAGGTGGATGGTTTTTTTTTTTTTTTTTTTTTTTGCTGTGCATGTACTGATTTTTATCATGGATGGATAGCCCTTATTCTTTGTTTTCCATTATAAATATATCCAATATGCATTCTTTCCGCAAGGATACTAGCATCTTTATTCTTACAGCAGATCCTCTTCTTCAAATTTCTCTAGTTCAGACCTTCTAAAGATTTGATAACGTTGGTATAGTTTAAAATGAGTGACATTGACATGAATTCCTGAGTGATATTGACATTACTTCGCCATTATTCAAGATGTGATTTAAAAATGTGATTATTCTGTTTTTTTATAAAAAATTACTTCTTTACGGTGAATTTATATTTTGATGACGTTTTGAATCATTTCACTTCACGGTGAATATTTCTGTACAGTATTTACATATTGTACTCAAGATATCAGTTGATGATATATGATCCTGCAGTGATCGTAATCTTTGATTTCGATCAATACAAGAAAAATCTATATAACATAACCAAAGACATATATACACATATATGTCTATGGCACAACTAGATAAATATAAATAACTGTATACGTCTGGTCTGCTTTAATTTGACGTGGTTAATTTGGAGAAACGTGCACGTTTAAATCCTTTACTTTTGTTATTATGTTTTAAACTTAGAATTTTGAATTTGATAATCTTTAATTTTAAACGTAAATGTGTTTGAGGGTTGTGACACTTGATATAAACGCCCTTTGATTCAAACAAATAGTTCTCCGATACTGCCACAATCAAGCTGATTGCTTTTCTATTTACATCGTGTTTGATAGGTTTTGTGGACGTTGTATTGAACAGACAGTCAGTATAGCTATCGGAACATAGTGCTCCCCTTGTCGATGACCAAGGTTATTTCTCTATATTAATAGCAGGCACACTTTATGTAGGCGTCCGGAAACTAATATCACTTTTTGAGGACAAACCTTTCATCCTTTCGAAGTGCCCAAGTTTACTATTGATTTTGAAAGGGTTTGTTTTGCATTTGTTTCTGCTTTATTTTTCTTTGTTGTATTTGATGTAATTATTTTCAATATCTTGTTCAGTTAAATAGATAACGGTTTTGTCTGTGTCTTGTTAAACAAACTATGTTTCGGTTGCAGTCAATAACAAACTGTCAGTATTTAAATTAAACAATCTTGCTGAGTTTTTTGTTCATTTCAAATTCCATATTTGATCATTCATTAGGCGTAAAATTAGTCATTAGCACGGTTTATAAAGGAGAAGATACGAGGTAGGGGAAAGTCGCCCTAAAATCAAAAATATTCAAAACTATGATCATTGACTTGTCGAATCAAATTTTGAATCTATTAAAAGGGATCTAAGGGGCATCGAACGATATCCACGGAACTTTTCATGCTCCTCAAAATTAGTCTAATAATAAGTTAAATAACCGTCTAGGACTGCCAATTTATATTTTGCTACAGAAAACAATCATCAGAA